TAAAAATAGGGTTAAAACCCCTATTTATACTTTCCTAAAAATAACGTAAAATAATAAAAAGAAATAAATCTCCTTCGCACACGTACACGGCCGTCACTGATGGGTACACGACCATGTAGCTGGCCTATACTTGATCTTTAGATTTCATCATACACGTGAACGGTCATGTAGCTAAGGGGTACATGACCGTGTAGGCAGACTTCATACGGAGATGACATCACACGATCGTGTAGCTCATGGTACACGACCGTGTAGCAAACAATCGTACTTGGAAACTATTGCATGACTGTGTAGCTCATGGGTACACGACCATGTAGCAGGAAAGCGTGGATGGAAGAATCACACAACCATGTAGTTTATGGTACACGACCATGTAGCATTATCATCATCTAGCACTCAAATACACAACTTCTTATGACTTGCAAATCTCTTTATGAAGCTCACCGATCTATCTCAAAATGTCGTAGCATGCTCATCATCACTCCAAATGCTCTACTTCATCCTGAAATCACAACATAACAACGACCAAACAACCAGAATAGAAGAATTTGAGTCCAACTTGGATAAAACATACATAAACACGAACTATATGTTGAACTTCTATATTAAACGCATTCCAAATAGCCCAAATATAATGGTACAATATCGACATATCACATAACTAGCTAGACAATGTTGCTCAAAGTTGTGAAACATGGTGAAATGTCTTAAAACTATTAAAAAAAGATAAAGGTATAAGGAAGAGAAAGAAAGGAGGAGAGAGATAGTAGGAGTAGAGAGAGATGATACACATAAACTAGGTTATAATATTATTAGACACTAATGATCGAAATTCTTTTTTAATGATCTTTCTAAAGACATCCATTTTGATATATTTTTGAAATTATTAAATAGTTAGACAATTTTAACTTTATTATAGTTTTGTATTCTACCTTTATTTTTTACTCCCGATTTCAATAAACATCGTTTTGTTATAAAAAATGAATTTAACTTTAAACAAAGCTACATAATACAAAAATAACATGTCAAAGGACTACAATAAATTATTGGATCTATGGTTTGTTACAATAAAATTATTGTTAGGATATAATTAAACTAGCAATTTGGGACATTGTCCAGGCCTCGCACTAGTTATTGATTATAATAAGGCACGCCAACTATAAACTTGTAATATACTCGTTTCGTTTCAAAATGATCTTCCCACTTTCTATTTTAATTCCTCACTTATCCTCATTATTTTTCCATAATTTTCTAATTACAATGGTCCCAATAAAAAAAATGATCTCAATGTACTTTATTACAAAATAATAAGTCGTGGTTCCAATGTACTTAAAATGAAAAGATTATCCAAGCGAGGATATCATTTTTTATGGAGGATTTATAATATTAAGTCTTGATCAATTGTTATTTTATAAAAATTAAACAATGCTTCTTAGTATTAATATTAGATGATTGTTATTTATAAAGCACTACAATTATTTATCTTGTAATATACAAATACTAATATCAATCAATTGTTATCAAAAAATGATATTATGCAAAAATAAATATTAAAAAACTAAGAGTAAGGACATGTTCTTTTCAACTTAAGTTCATTACAGTTCCTAATTTCCTTCTCTCATAAACAATTCCGTTTAGCTCAATTCAGTTCAATAAATTTGAACATGCCTTAACTCTTGAAATACTCAATTTTTGCTTCAACCACCCAATACGTATAATAAAACTTAAATTGGAGGGATTAAATGAGAAAGTGTAGGATTAAAATCAGATAGTGGAGGGAATACAAAAAATATGTTTTATCAGTTACTAATAAATTTAGAATTATGTGAAAGAAAAGTTTCATATTTCTGTAGACACCTACTTTTGGCCTCCTGCCCCGACAGGGAGTGTGATGATGTTACAAAAAACCGTTCTTCATGCTAGATCAAAGTTGAAGTGTTTATGGGCTACGAAATGTATTATGACGTAAGTTAAAACCCATATTTGAGACCAAGTTATTTTAGATCCTTGTTCGATTACTAATTAGGCCTAAAACGTGCACATACATGTTTAAACTTGATTAATAACGGACTCAAATGCATCAAATGCAATGATTGGATTCAATGGATCTTACATTGTTGAAAACCAAGCCAAAAAGATAAACTAACAATCAAATTTCCATGCAAGGCCTATACAGATGGATAACCCTTTCAAAAATCTTTCCAACGGTATATTAAAACCCAATTCTGAGCTAAAACGAAGAAGTTATGATCAAAACACTAAATCGGGCCCTAAAACCGACACCCTTGCACTCCAACGGCCATATATATGACCCATAACAGATTTTAACCTAATTCTAACGGCATTGGAAAGTAGACATTCAGAGATTTCCATCAATATCTCACACGCCTTAATTTGACTTTGCAATTAAAAGATATGGAATTTTTAAAATTGCGCTTTCGTATAAGGCAAACTCAGATAGTTGCACACGCCACCTGATGCCGCGGCTCTAAAACCCTAAACCTTGATTCTTACGCCTATAAATAGGAGTCTTCGTTCAACCCTAAACAAAATAGAAAAATTAGAATTCTAAACCCTAAATTCTATAAACCCTAATCTCTCTCAAACCCTCTTACTATCATACTACTTTTCTTCTATCTTCCCAACTACTCTTCAACCCTAATCCATCCATTGAAGCCCTTGAAGGTACAAAGAAGAAAGAAAGTCCATAAACGCATAAGACGAATATTAGCATAAAAGAAGAACGATTATTTTCTTGAGCACTTAGGTAAATCACTTTTCTTTTATTATTTAAATAACTTTAATTGGTTAGTTAGTGTTGTTTGATCACTTTAAACAAAATTTTAATTAATATTAATTTCACATAGTATTCTTGTGTTAAATAAAGACCAGAATTGATTAATTAATTGATTGTTTTATCAGCTAAGTCAAGGCGAATATTGTTTATTTTGTTCTTTTCACGAATTTGAATTCAATAAGAATAACGACATTCGTTGCAATGTAATCCTTATGTGATCAATGCTTGTAAAAAAATCCACTAACTTAATTTTAGTTGTCACGTTGTATATATTGCTTGGTAATGAAATTATGAAAAAAGAAGATCTAGTGGAGGCTGTACTAGGGCTAGAATAGCAATTCCTCCTTAAAAAGAAACGTTATTTTAGTACCATCGCTCCTGAGCTCATTTTTGGTTCACGTAGACCAATTTGGGCATGAGTTTACGATTCATGCTAAATATCCCTTGAACCCTACTTGGGAGAAAGACATGAATAAGGTTTATGAGTTTGCCTAAAACTCTTTGACGACTTCTTACTAGTTTCTTACAAAAAAGCATAATGATAGGATCAACTCTAATTCAAGGTCCCCCAAACAGTCAGGAATTCAAATCCTAATACACCCGAACATGTGTAAAGTCCTAGGCTTTTAAAGGGTCATGGGCATATAAGGAGAAGGATCCCTTACGATGGGCGCACCCTCCTTACAATTACATATTTATAATTAAAAAACTATATTTTAATAACTATGTTATTTTTGTAACCACATCTCTAACTAATTTTTATTTTATTATCCTTTTTCTCATCACATAAGAAGATTACAATTGTTTTCAATAAACTATTCATTCATTATGCGTTTGCAATACTAATGTGATCTTATTCCTTAATATTAGATAATCGATAGTTACAAGGAAAAAAATTATAAAACTTGTAATTAATATACTATTTAAATGTATTTTTTTTTACTATAATCTATTTAATGAATAGTATTAAAATAAATAGTGTTACTAAATAAATTAGAAATTTACAATCGTAACCACTCATTTTTTTAAAAAGATACCTAATATTATTTCCTGATTTATAATTTTAATTATTTTTCCCTATGTTTTACTATGATTTGTTTTCGAGAGTTTGGTGCCAAAACTGGATAATAATTTCTTATAAATATGTCATTAGTCATCGTGATAATTCAAAGAGTTTAATGTGTTATCCTTGTGATTAATCTAATGTCCAACATCTGTTACTGGTCAATAATCTAACTTGTAGAAAATTTTAAGTTTGATGATTAAATTCTGGGAAAATTGATCGTAAAAAAAAATCTAGGTGAATTGACGAACAATGGAAATAACGATGTTTAAATTCACATAATATAGCATGATATTTCAATCCGGATAGGTGAATTTTATACTTATAACATAATTTGTTTACAAAAAAATTGAAATGATGAAGCTAATCTACAAATCAAACTATAAAATATTATATCTATAACATAAAAATAAATAAAATATATTAATAATTTATTGTATAACATAACATTGTATATTCAATAAATTTCTGAAAAAATAAATATTGTCAAGCAAAGGATGAATTTTTTCATAAAATCATCAAAAACATGAAGAACATAACAAGAGAGAGAAGAGAGACAAAATCAAAATTCCAAAAAGCGAAATTTTTTGGCCAAAGATAATATGCGATGAATTAGTCATGAAATATAATTATATAAAAAATAATTACAGAAAAATCTGGAATAAAAAAAAAATTGAATTTGAAGTTAAGAACATGAAAAAGAAGAATAAGTAGAAGAAGAGAGAAAAACAAGACCAAAAAATAATCAGGTAAAAAAAAAAAATGAGAGGATAGAGAAAGGAGTGGCTGAGAATGTTGGGGGTCATTCATTGTACATTGACAACACAAAAATGATTTGAAATTTTTGATTTAAAATTTGAATGAAATGATAGAATATATTTGAGCCCAAACCTTTTACCAATAAAAAATTGCCACATCATTGGTTTATACATGGCCCACATAAACTGAGTTTATGTGTAGCCTTTACCAAGAGTAGAATAGGCATTGTGGGACCGACTAAAACTTTTCTGACATATAAAATGGACAAAAATTTATGAAGATCACTACTACAGTACCACTGGTCTATATTTTGTTCGATTGTTCCTCTTTATATTAATGAAACTCTAGTGCTTTAATGGTATTATTTGTCCACTCAACGGGACATCTTTAAAATGAGACTTGATGTTCCTACATTATCCTTTTAGGACATGATTTTATCTACAATCTTTAAAAAGAGAGAAGATATGCGGAACTGTTCCTTATGAACAGTAGGAGAGTGTCCTTCCGCAATTACCCTCGGCTTGGGATGCTATTCGCGGTCTTGCCACTGAACCTTGACTCTTCCGTTCTTTGTTTTTCCTGATTTTACTCTCATCCTCTTATTTTGTTGTTTGAGAACACTAGAAGCATACTCTCAGTGAGCCTCCTCCATGGAAGCGTACCTCTGAGTTCTCCATTTTTGCGGCTTCTGGTATGTCTATCTATTTTCCGTCGACACCGCTACTGAGGTAAAGATATTTTCTGAACTTTGTGTAATAGTCTCATATCAATTTCACAATTTAGGGTTTATTGTTGCTAAACTACAAACAATATCTATTTTATGCCTTGCTTTAAGGTTTTTTCCCCATCAATTTTTTTTTCCATCAATCTGGCGCAAATTATCCTGCCAATTTGGGAAGAACTTCGAACCAAAGAACAAGAAAAATCCCTTATTTTTAATCCCTCATTTTTAGGGAGAGAAAGAGAGGTAATTAGCTTAGCAAACCTAGGAAAATGGCGATTGCTAATGTTTCATCTTCATTGTTTAAGACTCTTCTTAATCCTAAGAAGAATGTCTTGGCTGCTATGCACAAGAGTTAATATGGTTTGGTTCCTCTTTTTCTCTCCTCTTTTTGGTTGATTTTAACCTAATTATTGTGATTGATTTTGTGTTTTTTGATTTGATTTGATTTTAGGTTTGAGATCGTTATGATCCAATGGAAGTTCATGATATCAGAGAAGCCGTATACGACTATCCTTGAAGCAATCGCAAAAGCCGCCAAAGAAAAAACGCCGGTAATAGCGCTATACATCTATCCTTCATTTTGCGGCGCATATTCAGCACTCTTCGCTCATCCCTTCCACTTTCACCTTCGTCGTCGTTGCCTGTTGCCTTATTCTTTTGTTTTCCTCCGTCCTCCTTTCAGGTCTTTCTCTCACTGAGTTTTTGTTGCCATTTTTTTGTTGATTGTAACAATTATGCAATTTCTTTGATTAAATTATTAATGTTAGCATTGTGTAATTAGCAATTGTCGCTTTGCATTTTTTCGTTGTTTTTTGATTTTGCCATAGATTAATTAGGAGTACTGAATTTGTTCTTTGTTATGCTAGAATGTTGTGTGTCACTGGAAAAATTGTGTTGTGCTCCGTATTTACTTATTTTTTGTTTAAGTTTAATTATGTGTTAATCTTGTTTAGCTGTTGAGAAAATCAGAAACTAATATATGAGAAATGTAATATGAATTTAATTATACAACCTTTGTTTATAGGCCATTTTTTTTTTTGTGATGATTTAAAAATATGTTACTTGAACCATGGCACATGTCCAAGGATCCTACTTGGCTATCTTATGAAGAAAATATGTTAAGTGTCCAAGTGTCTTAGTTTAGGTCTTACCAATGTTGGAGAGTCTAGCGTTGGCACTCGCGTAGGACATTTGGACACTTCATTAGGGCCAAAAAACATTGAGTCCAAGGACCATAGATTGGATATGTCAAAAGTGACTCCATTGTGATTGAAATTCAGATATATATGCAAATGACACAATTCTGTTGTTATAGAATGAGAAATTTTTGAATCAATATTTGCTTGAAATGGCTTGTAGGTTGTTATTTACAATGGATTTATATAGCGATAATTACATTTCAACTTAATTATTGTTATAATTTACTTGCTGGTGGTACAACATTAGTTTTGTTTCCCTCTCCATTTTATGCCTCATTTTGCTGCTAGGTACTGTTACTCATACCACCATTTTCACTTTCTTTTCTTTGATTTTTTTATGGTCTGTGAAAAAAGATTGGACTTTTATCTCTGGGTTCGAACCTTGTGAGTAATTTCTTGCTTTTATGATTTTTTTTTTTTTTTGCAGATGTTTATAATAATTTTTATTTTTCCTGATTTTTTTTATGTGTTTTGGAAGCTATGGGAGCTTTCAACGAATTGAGGAAGCTGGAATTGTTCTTTAAGGATGAGAGCAGGCATGGCTTTTCAGTTTTTGATCTTAACGAACTTGTTCAACATGGTAGCAACGTGTTATCGAGGCTGTAAGTTTTAATCTGCAATCTCAGTTTCATAGTTAATCTGAGTTGGTGAGCTTTGTTTTGACGAATGGTTTGGGGAGTTCGTTCTCTGATGGGTGAACCTTGTCAAGTTCTGCTAATCGATTAATTCAATTGTAGATGCTATTTCCTTTCCTTGGTATACGTTACACATACTATTAGACTAAATGCTAACTGATTAGGGGTTTTGTGGCTGGATAATAAGCCTTAACCTGATGTTTATTTGGGTTTACACTCGTGGTTGGAATTTGGAGTAAGATTTTAGGTGTTCTTAGTTGTTGATGTGCGTCTTTGTTTCTGAATTAGCACCTAAACTGTTCCATTCAACTTATTGATTTGCTTTCAAAGCTAAGTTTTTTTTTTTTTCAATTACGATAGATTCTTTGTTTTCCTTTCCTCTTTCTATCAAAGGCATGAAGGATATTCTCATATTTTGTCAAGCTTCACTTTGAATTTTGGACTTTGACACCTTATTACTGTATATTGTCCTGAGTAAATTTCTTGTTTAATGACCCAAATGAATCTCGAATTAGCTCTTTTCTTGTTTTTTTGAGAGCTAAAGGCGAGACCTTTGAAGAAGTAAGATCCACCCTTTTCATTCTATCATTTTTAATTAATATTAAATTAAATTAAATACAGTAATTAATTAATGGGTGTACATTTTGAGATTATGTAATCTAAAATTAATTACGATTTTTTTTGAAAGGATGGGGTTAGTTCACAAAGACCTAGGTTTTGATTTTATGAAATTGGCAATTACAGGCAGTTAAATGACAACTTAAAATTATGGGTTTTGGGAATTTGGTTGTAATTCCATATTTTCAATTGGCCTTTGACTTTAAACATAAATGTTAATGTTGCTAATTTTGAGATTGATGAATGTATTTATATTTACCTGGTTTTGATCCGGGGACTACTTTATGTGAAATTGCAGATAGTTGGATTGGCAAATGCAATGATGAAACACTGTAAGAGTGTGGAGGGTTTGGGGGATGTTGTGGATATCGTTGGTACCGGTGGTGATGGTGCCAACACCGTGAATATCTCCACCGGTTCCTCTGGTATTGGCCGCCGTTTGTGGTGCAAAAGTAGCCAAGGTAGTTTGATTTTCGACTACTATATTCTTTCTTTCCCTCAACACTACAATTTCTCAATCTCTCTCCTTTGCTCTTCCTCATTGATCCGAGCTTTCTATTGAAGGCTTGCAGCGTGTTCTGAGCTTAATCTCCTCCATTAAAGCAGCTTCTTGAGGTAAGATGTTTTTACTTTTTATAATCATCTAATATCAATTGACAATTTAGGATACAACTTTAATTTTCATACAAATTCACTAATCCTTTTTAAGTTAATCTTTTTAATTAATTTTCACAAATTCGATTGAGAAATCAAGCTATTTCTTGATGAAGGAGTGTTGATGAAACTCTACAGATTTTCGCCCTTTTGATTCAGGCTTTCTTTTTTGTCGAACAAGAAAAAGAGAGAAAATGCGATGATCGGCGGTGGAGGTAATTGTGGCGGCGAAGTTTTCAGCATCAGACTGCTGCCATCTCTGCAACCACTTTTATTATAGATGAAACTTTTAAACTGGTAATGTATTTTCTCTCCCCTTCAAGATGGAAAATTTGCTTGTTTATGTAAAATCAGGCTTTAATTTTTTATAAACAAAAGTTCTAAATGGCAACTTCTTAATTCAGGCATTCTTTTTTGTCATCAAATTGTAAGTTTTGAGTTTTCTTCTTATTTTGTATATAATATTAATGGGTGTTGAATTTCTACTTTAGTTGAGCTTTGTCATTCATGTGAAATGATCTGATATAAAATCATGATTTTTTTTTCTTTCTATTCCCTTAAATTTATTATTCTGGTAGTATGATCTCATATGATAGTATTTGTTAGTTCATTTATGCTTGCATTTTTATAATTGATCATTATCTAATAAAACCCAAAAGGGATTTTTTTTTCTTTTTTCAAAAAATGTGGGTTTCCGATTTAGTTCAGATTGTTTATAATTTAAGGGGTTTTGTCAATTCAATTCAGTTTGTTTTAAAAATGGTTTTATTTTCTGATTTAATTTAATTAGTTCATAATTTTGGGATGGTTTCGATTCAATTTGGTATATGAAACAGGTTTCAGATTAATGTTTCAAATCTCATTGATTTTAGAAACAATATAAATTTCTGGCATCTATGATTTCAAGGGTGCATAGATAAAATGGTTGATACATAATCATGTTTTTCTATTTATTTTTAGCCTGTTGATTGACAAACTTTTACCTATTGTAGTTCCTAGGAGTGTTTCAAGGAATCTTGGAGCTCTCATAAATCATTGCATTCAAAGGAAAATACATCTACTTTACAAACTGATGTTGTTGTGGACAAAAAAAGTGAAAATTGGCTTTATTGCTTACAAAAAGGACAACCTCGGACTTCAAAACTTCCATATTTTGATTGGACAGTGTATCATGTCAACATTACTTTATTGTGGATACATTTCTGATTACAGCCCTTCTTTTTACGTACTTATAATTGTGTATATGTTTAAACTATGATTTACTATTACTATGGTTATGAATGAAAACATGCATCTTGGTGTTGACATCTCATAAATTTGACCTTTACTGAACTGCAACCTTTTCCCATGTAGATCATTAAGGTCGTACCCCTTATCAAGTTACCGTACTATACCAAAGCACATTGAGCTACCTGATTGGGCTATGGATGTAAGTTTTCTCTTTCTATTGTCAACAAGTGTATATCCCCTGAATGTTGGGTTTTAGACAATTACCGGCGATGAGACTATGATGACCCCTTGGAGATACTTGTTTTCCTTTATGCACCAATATATGAGCTCTGATATTTATCAATCTGCAACTTATGAAGTCTTTATGAGATGCTTTCAATACATTTAGGGTATCCCTAAGATTGAGCCTGAGAGCAACCTGCAGCACATTGTCGAGTTATGCTTAATTACTCTGCTCCTCATACTTGGGTAAACTCAGAGACATTAATCGTCCAAAGAATTTTTTTTTTTTTAATTATTATCCTTTTTTGTTTTCTTATTGGCTTCTTATTTTGAAGATTAGAACTCCAGAACTGATATAGAGAATGAGGGAGACTTGCAAGGTAAGTTCATTTTGTTTATTTTGGTTTATATTGCAAGTCCTTAGAATTTTTTTGCTTTTTAAAGAGTGCTCCATATCTGTGAGTGTTTTGTAGTGCTTATAAATATAAACTGAAGTCCCATGAGGTTGTCCTTGTGATGATGCAAACTTGCAAAGCATTTTATCTCCTTTGTTTCATACGAAGTATCTTCTTAGATGGAAGATATGTTTGATACAAGTCTAATTACTAATTTTAAGTGTCAGCTTATGATATCTTATGAAAGCTATAGACTAGAGTGGATTTGGTTCTAAGCAGCTGTATGATTACATGTGTGGGTAACCTTACTGGAGAATGGTAAGTTTACATTACGTTGATCTTAGTGAAACTGCATTAGGTTCACTATTCTAGATCAATTGTGTTGTTAGTGGTTTTACAAGCCTATTTCACGTGACATTTGTATATATAAGCTTACCCTTGAATAATGGTATTCATCCTAGTCTCTTTGTGTATTGTTTACTACCACCTTCCAGTGGGGTGGGGTAAGGGTTTTGGATAGTTGATTGTCTTTGGAATAGTGTAGGACGTTACTATCCTCTCGATTAGCTAGCATTTGTGGACTGAGTGTTCACCTTTGGTAGAAAGTCTTGGCTAGGTCTTGATGTTATCTACAATCAGCTTACCGTGATACTCTCTTGCCCTTTTCCATTTAATTTGCTAAATTGAACTATGACAATCGCTGTCTCCAGATTGCTAGGTAGGTTTTGGATGCGGCTGCGCGTATTATTTGACGATGCATTATAACAAATGAGATTGATCGAGTAGTCCATGAAGGTACTATAGCTGCAGGTTTGTGTTGATTTATGACGGGAATTAAATAAGTTGTACTGTCGTTTGTATACTCCTCCCCCCCTCTTGGCACTGGAAAGAGCAAGTTTCTCATATGTATTTCTGACCTATTCTTTTGAAATCACATGCATTTTTATTTGCTAATTTTCTGTACATCGGGAGATCCAAGGCAGACATTAAAATTAGTTAACTGGATGATGTAAGAGAATTTTGACTTGTGAGTAATTTCACACAATTGAGGAAATGAAGCTGTCACTCTTTCCAGTCCAAATTAGGGGACATCATGTTCCTAACTTTTTCAGATTTTGCATTCAATTCTCCACCTAGATCTTTTTATTAGCTTTTTGAGTTTTCTCAGGACTCCTCTGCCATTCTCTTTTCCTATTCTTGTTTTCTTGTTTGTTCTTCAATTTTGCGCGATTTTCAGTCAGAGATTAGAGAAACAGATAGAGAATTTTATCACTTCTTCTCTAAGGTATGATCATCTTTAATTTAATTTTAAATATTGATATTACTGTTTTTAGCTTGATTTAGGGGTTTTTGAAGGTTTTTTTTTTTTATGAATTATGTTGGGTCTTGAAGATCTGAATTGATCTGATGAATTGGTTTGATTTGTTTAGGTTTTAGGGGGTGGCGTCAAAGAGGATTTTTAACGAGCTATAGGATTTGAAAAAAGATCCTCCAACTTCCTGCAGTGCCGTTCTGCCGGTATACTGTTTTTTATTTTTTTGGTAAGTATTTTTTTATTGGCTTCAATTGTTAAACCATTTCCATAACCACCATTAATTAGAGTGAGACTCGTGAGAGTATTAGGATAAGTTGACTATTATTTGTGAAACTTGAGATGTTAAAAGGGCGAGACACAATTAAAAGGGGTTTTGCAAAAGTCGCTACTTCTTTGTTAAGATTGGATAAGGTAGGGATAACACTCTCTTTGCCATAATTGTTAGAAAAAGACCTTATAAGTATTAAGGTTTTAGCATAGAATCATAGGTATACATATATTCGGGATATGTTGAGCTCTTTATATAAATGAATGACTAATTGAATGCTTAATGTGTTTTTTTTTCCCCTTATGCCTCTTCATTATCTTTCTGTGTTTGTGAAGCTCTCATTTTTCTGAGTTGCAGCAATTCATGCTAAAATTAATTTGTGAAAGAATGAAACGGAAAGCAGATAGTTTCTGTTGCTTTAGTCTCATTTTTCCAACAATTCATATGGTCAAACTTGAGGGAAGAGACAACTCAGATCGAGAGTAATTGAGGCTGTTAAAGCCACCGAGAAATGTCAGGTAAAGTAATTTTTAAGCAAGTGTTTTGTTCTTGTATGTTCTTGTAGATTGGCAAAGGCCATGGGTATTAACATCAGTTTAACAACTAATCTACAAGAACATACAATAAAATCAAAATTTAGGTGGGGGTAAACAAGAACCTTTAATTTGAAAATTTTGGAACATTAATTATGTTTAATTGTGGAAGGGAAACCAATCTCTCTGATTGGTATTAAACTCATAAGAAAGAAAAACTTAAATAGTGTTGTGCATATAGATTTGAAATCATCTTACCTACAATGTGAGTTATTAGCTTCCGTTCAAAGCAAAATGGTGAGTATTTTCTCCAAGTTTTTTAGCAGCAAATCTGGGCACCAAAGAACTCAAAGTCCAATTGTGAATGAAATTAGTTTTCTGGGGTTGCATGATTTTCTAAAATTAGGAACTATTTGACTATGAATTCTGTATGAAAACTTGGTGTGGAAGTACACCTGATATGATTTGAAGAGGCGAACTATCTATTTTAATTTTCTGTTGTGGTCAGATGATTGTGTTATTTGTTTTACTGTTTTGTTTGACTATCAAAAGTTGATTTTGTGGGATTTCCTTACTGTGTTTGAATTGGTCAGATTTTGAATGTTTCTTTATGACCTGACTTTCTTATTAACTTCCTTAGATCTGCGTGTGAATTGGGTAGTTAAATTTTGTTGATTTTGGGAAATATATCATACTTTTCATCTGGATTTTTTTCATTTTTACAAGGTTCATTGTTGACGTGATTGGTCTGTTTGCTTGGTTTCTGTGCTCTTGAGTTTCCTGGAGAAACATTACCAGGTTAAGTCATGTATCTTTTCATCTTTGTAGATCATTGAGTCTTATAATATCCGAAATTGTGTCCAAAATCTTTGTTGGCTGTCATTAATTATGATTAGAACCCGTTTTTGGTGTTTAGTCTATGAATGCTGTTTTTGTGTTAATGTTTTTTTTTTTTTATCTTTTCAAAAGAGTTTATGGTTCTTGATTTAGGCTTTTGGTAAAGGTCGTTATTATCGTTTTAGAATATTAGAGTTTCTGGTTATCTGGAAGTTATAGATTAATTTGTACATTTGTGTCAAAAGTTGTTTATGTATTTTTCCAATTTGATTTCTTAATTGTAACCTTTTTGTACAGTTGTGAAGATAAGACCACTTATGAAATATTGGGCATATTTACTAAATTTTGAAAGATTTACCAAGTGGATTTGTAGATTAATATTGGGCATATTTACTAAATTATGAAAGATTTACCAAGTGGATTTGTAGATTAAATTTGTTCGTTTCATCTCATCTTTTGACAAAATGCTGCTTGTTTATGATATTAATGCTTTTTATTTGTAGCCACTATACTAATACAAAACATTATTAACTGAGTATGTTTTGTTTATTAGTCGAGTCGGTGAATCTTGGTGAATGGTGGTAGTTAATTTGTATTGTTTTGTATTATTATAATGGGTGCATCTATAATGATAGTATTGGTATGTTTAGGTATGAATAGGCTAAACCTTAGAAATTGCTTGTTGAATATGAAGAAACTTGTAGAATTAGATAGTTTGATTAGAAGAATCTATGAAATTAGGGAATCTCATTGTTCTCTTGAGCAATTAAGCATTAGTCCTACGAGTATGAATTAGACAAGGACTGATCATTTGGTTCGATGTCTCATTGTCCGGCAATAATTGAGCTATGTGATTACAAGAGCTGAAGCAATGGTTGCTGTTTTTTAGGCCACTTCTTCATATGATTTGTTCAAGTAGGTCCTTTGAGATCTCAATAGCATATATACTTGTAGATTTCATCATTGGATCACTACTATAAATTTTGTTTAAACAGTGAACTCTAGACTCTGCCATAGGTTATAGTCATCAAGGCGCACTGATGGTGGTGTTCATATTGTGTATTTTCTGGTGTGGATAAGTTGTTGGCTTTAGGCTTATAGTAGATCAACAGAAGTAGGATGGTAGCTTGAGCTTGAGCTTGCAGCATAGCTACATGGAGATATTTCATCTTACTTGAAGGGAGAACTGGAAGAATGAGAGAATGACAGTGCTATATGATCTTAGTCAATATAGAAGTAAAGGTTATACAGAATTATAGAGTACAATTTCCTTCAACCTTTTTTTCCTTTTTATGGTGCTTTCTTTCTACCGTGCTAAAATAAGTAGTATTGCATTTGTTTACTTGATTTTTACCTTTATAATTCTAGAATCCCGTGGCTAGCTGAAAATTTAGTAATTCATTCCTTCCATTTTACGACGTTCTTGTTACCAGTAGAAAGAGATCATTTTTTGCTTTTGTCTGTTCATATCATTTCAGAAGAGGAAGGGAAAGATTTATCGAGTTCAAAATCAGTATGCCAAGCTGCTGCTGCTAGAGGACGTGAGCAGTCATTCCAGGATAAGCTCTTGAAAGAGAAAAATGAATCCTAGGAGCAACCAGAGAAACCAATACAACAGTGCAATAAACTTAGGTGAATTTAGGGATTAAAATAAAAAAAAAAATTTGAATTTTTGTTTTGACTTGGTTGAGATGACTTAATTTGTAATTGAAAATCAAAAATAGATGAGAAATTTTTACAAGGTATAAAATAACCTTGATACTATTGAAACTGTAGCTTTTTTTTGGTGGTTGAGGTTGCACTTTAGGTTAAGCTCAAAAAGGAAGAAATCATGCTTTAGAAGTTTGGAAAATGTGAGACAAATGTTAGGGGAATTTTTTACAAGGCTCATCAATCAGCTCCTTGTTGCTCTTTAATGAGCTTGGCAACATTGTCCATGTATAGTGATAAAAAAATATCTTTCTAAGTATCATGTCAATGTAAAAAGGAAGTGTTTGGTTGCAAGCTTATATATCTATAATCCTGTGGTTATTTGTTGTGTTCTTTACTAATTTTTTTATTTGGAAATACAATTAAATAGGTTATTATTGTAGAGTTTTGAGTTTAATAGCCATTCGTGGCAAGGGATTTTGTGATTATTATTATCGAGATCGAGAGAGAGCTCACTAAAATGCCCACGTAAGCTAATTACATTTTCTTAAGCTAATAAGAAATACGGAGTATCATTTGAGAGAGAGATATATATATATCAATTACAAAAAAATCACTTGAGCAAGGGAAAGAAAGAGAGACCATTTAAGAAAGATCTCTTAACAAAAAGAGAGGAATCGCTTGAGAAAGACCACTTATGAAAATAAGAAAAATTATCTTAGGACCACGCAAGAAGTATCACTTAAAAAGAAAGATCACTCGATCAAGAAGAAAGAAAGATCACATAATTAGGGCAATTAGCTTAGGAGAGAGACATGTAGTGAATGAGAGACTGAATGTAAATGATCACTTAAGAAAGGGTAATTAGATTAGGAAAAAAGGGTGACTAAAATGTGTGAGAGAGAGAGGCCATAATAGAAATGTCACTTAGCAAAAAGAGGCCAATTTAAAAAAATCATATAAAAAATCAAGGCAATTAGCTCAGAAGAGAGGGATGGGAGGAAGAGAGATAGAGAGAGACCATTAAGAACGATCATCTAAGAAAAGCAAGGCAATTAGCTAAAACAACAATTAACTTAGAAAAATGTTTACTGAAATGGGAGGGGAGAGACCACTAAAGCAAGATCAATTAAGGAAATCAAGTTAATAATTAGGTTAGGAAAACATTATTAAGAGAGAGATAGACCACTTTAAAAAGATCACTTAGAAAACGAAAGATCACTTTAGAAGAAAGATCACTTAAGAAAAAAATGAAAGATCACCTAAGAAAATCAAGAATCCATTTAAGAAAGATCGCTTAATAAAATTAGGTAGTAAAATTAGAGCAATTAGCTTAGGAGAGAAAATCAGGACAACTTTCTTAGGATAGGAAAAGAGTGAGAGAGAGACCACTTAAAAGATATCACTAAGGAAAATCAAGAAACCAATTAAGAAAGATCACTTACAAAGATCAAGCGAACATTTAAGAAAGATCACTTAGGAGAATCAAGACAATTAGCTTGGGGGGGGGGGAGAGAGACCACTTAACATAAATCACTTAAGAAAATGAGGCAAAATAGCTAAAGAGAGTTAGACCAATTAAGAAAGATCGATTAAGAAAATCAAAGCAAATAGCTAAGGAGAGGTAGATCAATTAAGAAGAAAATCAAGGCAATTAGCTTAGGAGAGAAAGAGAGACTCCACTTATGAAAAATCACTAAATAAAATCATAAAAATTAGCTTGGGAAAAAGGCTTACTGAAATGCGACAAAGAGAGATAGAGATCACTTACAAAAATCATGGAAATTAGATTAGGGAAGAGAGAGAGAGAGAGACCACTTTAGCTCAGAATTAAAATTTTCTTTCTGGATTTCGATTTTTTGGGTGTTGGTTCTTACGTTGGGTTTAGATATTCCGATCTTTGAGCTATTTTGATTGTTCACTTATTTCGACTATGTTTAAAGACATAAAATCCTAATCCTAAATTGTGTTAGTTGTCCTACAAGCGTCTAGATTTATTAGCTTTGGAGAGAAAAAGACTACTCGAGAGAAAGACCACTTGATGGAGACATAGACGACTTGAGAGAGAGAGAGAGAGAGAGAGAGAGAGAGAGAGAGAGAGAGAGAGAGAGAGAGAGAGAGAGAGAGAGAGCACTTAAAAAGATCACTTAAGATTATTTTTTTTTTTTTATTTTTTTTTTATTTTTTTTTTTGGGAGAGAAAAAGACTACTTAAGAAAGATCACTTAACAATATGTACCTTTGGAATCAATATAATTTTGGATTGGCTAACAAATTTCTAACATACGTAATATTAAGTTCTTTTAAAAAAATATTAAGCCCATACCAAGCCAAAGTATTCAGTACAATTAAGCAAAGAAAAAAAAATATATATAAGCTTGTATCCACTTATTATATTACAAGATCAGTTTCCACATGTGCTATTATCACCCCAATTGATATTCTAAATTAAATTCTAATGTTTCTACTTTTCATAATTTTTCTTAATATTTACTTTACTAAATCCTGTTATATAATTTTAGTCAAGAAATATAATTATCTTATCACCAATTGAAAACATATGTTTTTAAAAATTAAATAAACAATTGAAAACATATATAAAAAATAATAAAAAAAATAAAAGTAATAAAAAGAACTTTACACATCATATACGAGGCAATATCACCACGGTTAAGGGAGCTCTGAAGGGGTAATGATTCTGCAAGATTATTTTCTCTTAATATAGTAACCAAATCTATATATATAACCAAATCTAGAAGGCAACATCAATGATCCAATTGATGCTAGCCTACCCCCGTTAGGCCGTTACTATATACTTTTAAGTAACGGAATATTTGTCGTTTAACAATAACAAATTCCAACTAAAAGCTATCCGTAATTTAATAAGAAATTAAGGTACACATTTGGAAAAATTTGTCATCCGAAAAATATACAATATTGCAGAGATTTTGGATTAATCTTGGAAGCCGAATCTGTTTTATTGATTTAGAGAAATCTCCAATACATATGCAATATTGTTTTCAATTGAATGAAGAGTAATATTTGAATGGAAGTTTCCCTAACAAAATTTCTATATAGAGCTCCCTCGATCCACTCCAACATGAAACGACCAATATTTCAACGTAACTATTGTAATATAAATTTTCTTTGCAATTTTATTATTTCCTCAGATCATTACTTTTATAATCAATATATATAATAGAAGAATTGTAACTATTTATTATTCTTATTGTAAATAATATGAATTAGGGAAAATGTATCAACTTTTTGTTCCTTATTTAAAAATCTTAGTCAATGTTTACATTTAAAATTGCTACTATAGCTATAAATTTTTAAACCTCTTATATAATTAATTGACGTGTAATATTAAACAAGCCTAAAGCATAAATGAATAACAACACATAACATCATAATTATTGACAAACAAATAACAAATTAAATTTAGCATGCTTTAGCTTAGATTACTTTTTTCTAATATGATGATTTAAGTTAATTACTTCTTTCTAATATGATGATTTAAGTTACATCTTTCTAATATGATAATTTAGAATTCAATGTTTCCTTTTACATTAGCTATAATAATTTAAATGCATACAAATTTTAGACACTTTGTAAACATGATTAACATGTAACAATACCACCGTATACATAATTTACGAACAATTATCACCGCCATTGGGGGACCGCGCGCGCAGCGCGCGGTGCCACAACTAATTATCTAAAAAGAGTAAAAACCCTCTGTTTGGAAGCCCTCGAGTAGGCGCGTACTACTCTATTACTGATGTAATGTTAAATTTAAGCCACTTGTACAACTTGAAATTTTTTAAGTTTGCATTTTTTTGTAATCTACTGGTGAAGTCAACTAAATTACAGTTTTCGAAATACTTTTAAAAAAGGCATAGTGATAGACTTTGGATACAACTGACACTGCTAAATATAGACAGTCGCTAGTAATATTTTAAAGCTGTAGATGTAGGATGATTGGAACCGTGAAAGTCGGAACATGTTACTGCTGTTAAATTTTTACACATCCCAGCAGTATTTTAAAATCGGAGTACTCCCTCCGTCCTAAAACTTCAATCTTTTTGTGTTGATTTCACAAGAAACTTAAATAAAAAGAAATAAAAATATAGTGAAAAGATAAATATACATGGGGTTTATAAAAAGAGAGAGTGATAAAATATTAAAAATAAATAAAATAAAAAAATTATAAGAAAAAGTTAATTTTACACAAATATTGTTGTAAATTGATAAGTATTTTAATGCAAATGAGTCGATTATTTTGCGACTAAAATTAGGTCAAAAGGGTCGAAATTTTGGAGAAAGAGGGAGTAGTTAAGTGCTCTTTTTTCGATGTTGTGGTTTGCTAAGTCATGAAGACTTATTAATTCATTACTCGAAGAGAGTGTAATTAATTAGCCTTCTAACCTCTTTCATAATAGATAGAGATACTGAGATCATAATGAAACTACTCAGACATTAGAGAGTTTAGAGAGAGAAGAGAGGCATAGAAGAGAGAATAGGGAGTTCGATACCCAATGATAAGCCATATTATTATTCAATCCAGCTTATACCAAGCAGCATTACTAGGAGATACAAGGTACCTGGAGGAGGCCGTGATTGCAAAATATGGAGCTGAAATGCAGCAGTATAAATCACCTGATCAAGGAAACAACACTGTTCACATAGCAGTTAGGCAAGGATCTAAGGAGTCCGTCCAACACCTTATTTCTATTCTACAGAAGAGCACGGCAAATAGCACTACTGCGGTAACAAATAATCAAGGAGACAACCCATTTCATGTCGCACTCAGAAGCCGAAACTTGGCCGCAGCTGAAGCGTTGCTTGAATACACTGATGAAAACAACTACAGATTCTGGCCATTAAGAACAAGTTTGGGAAGAGTCCTCTACTCCTCTATATCCAATATTGCGCTGGTACCTATCCTGCACTATTTCACCTCTTCTGCTTTGCTTACTTTTTGGCAGTAATCTAAGAGTTTATACTATTTATATAATGGTACTTTACTACTTTTACTATTTCATTCATTGTGCCCCCTTGGTTGGCTGTTACAATATGCGGGTCATGGGCCAAACTTTAAATCACTTGGGTACCCGTTGATCCTGCTATCCCCTAAGGGATGGTAATGGATCCACACCCGACCCGACCCAAATTAGAAGATCCAGATTCATTTTTCACGAATACAAATATTTAAAATTTAGACCTAACGAACTAAACCCTGTGCTAAAAAACAGATTGATCTAAAAACGGGACCAACCAAAATACTCGTATTTGGGTATGTTCACATGTTCTATTTATTTTTGTAAAATAGCAGGTTTAGACACTGAACCCACAATTTACTGACTCTAAAGTTTCTAACACTAGAATATACTCATGATGTTAATGCATCTAATACATCACATATATGTATGTTTATAAAAAAAAAATAGTATGAGTAAAAGTTATACTACTTCCTTCGTTCCTTACTTAACCTGTAATTCTATTTGGGAAGTTTCTTTTTACTTGACTTGTTTCCTTTTTAGACAAATTTAACACTACCCTTTTACTTATTTGCCCTCACATTTTCAACACAATTAAAACCACAATCCCTTTGTTACCTAACCCCCTTCTCTCTCACCTTAGTCAAACAATCATTCAACCCCTCACCACCATATCCTCTCTCCCTCCTCCAAGTTAACCATGGCAGCCACCCATCTCCACCACCCTAACCATAAATTTGAAACACCACCACAACATCAATCTATCATAACCCTTATCTTCCTCTTCACCGTCGATGGTCTCAACACTCCTTTCCTCGCCTCTACGTCTCTAGCTGTGGTAGAGGCTGTATACTTGTAGTGGAGGTTATAGTGGTGGTTGTAATGATGAGATGAGTGACAGTAACGGGAAAGGTAAGAGGAATGGGTTAGTGAGCAGGGGTAATGGATAAGGGCAATATAGTCTTTTAAATTTCTTCTCAACTTTTCCGTTATAATTGTGCCTAAATGGATTAGGTCAAGTAATAAAAAAGAGGAAGTAGTTGGAAGTTATGTTTTTTTTTTTTTTTTTTTTCTTAAGTTAATTATTTGGAGTTATTTTTCCCAAAAAAAAAAAGGGTGCATGAGAATTGAGAGTTGTGGGTTTAGAGGAATGTGGTTAAGTGTTGCAAATTAAAATTGACTCTTAAATTATATATAATTAAGACTAGAGTGTAACCGTACACGTGCACATGATATATGTAGTATGTATGTAAGTATATGTTTCCATTACCTTATAAAAAGTGGGAGAATACTCTTATGAATAGTGCGTGGGCATATATATCCCTAAATTATCTATATCTCTAAAAATGTTCTTTTACATAGTTAACCTTATTGAATTCAAAATTCTTAAAATTGTCTCTTAAATCACCAAAATTGATTAATTATTTGTGTTTATTTTAATATTTAAAGCATTTTTTTAGAGTATAGACTCTCCATTTTTTACACTCTCTATTTTTTACAATATATATAATGATATGATGTCTTGTTTAAGATATTTAATTCGTCTCATCAATAAATACTTAAAAATTACTATGGAAATCGATATAATAAAATATATATACCATGCAAATATGCATAAGGCATAAAAACCACCAATAATAATTCTCCTTTAAAGGGCTAGCCATCTGTGCGCATCGCAAGCGTAAGAATCCCCAGTAAGTAAAAAAAAGGAGTAAAAATAAAAGTTATTGAATGGGGGTTTGGTTATTGGTTATTTTTTTTAATTGATTGATATGGATAGTTGTGGTCATGAGTATAAATGGTGGTAATTATTATTTTTTATTTTATTCTTTTGAAAAAAAATAGAATAAAAATAGAAGTGTTAGATTTTAATTGAGTGATATGGGTAATTATGAGTAAAGGGTGGTTAAAAAAAAAAAAAACAAAATCAAAATAAAAAAGTAGAAGAGTTAGAATTGCAAGGATGAGAATTTGGAGTAGTGTGAATGAATGTTGGAAAAACAACTCTTAGATTGTATACTTCCTCCGTCCCATAATATAGTTATTGCTTTATTTTGGAGATTTAAAATATTGTTCATGAATCTATTTTTGGATAGTATGTAAAGACCAATATACCATTACTTTTTAAACTTTATTCATTTTACTTCCTGATTTACCCTATAATTTTGCACACGCCTTGTACTTGTTTTCATTTTATTTCTTTAACTTTTGTCTACAATTGTACTTTTCACTTTTATTAATGTATCACATCCACTTTCTCTTCCTATTTCTTAAATACCGTGAGAAAACACAAACAAAAACTATATTATGAGACGGAGGGAGTATAAGATTTGTTATATTCCTATTCCCAAACCCCGCAACAACAAACCCTGCGTTACCACTCGCTCTCTCCATTTTCTCTGTCTCCCAATTCCCCAAAATTAAACCGACAAGTCTAGCCTCTTCTCTCAGACAACCGCGAGTCTAACATCTGTCCTCTTTCTTTCAAGCGACCATGCGCAACAACTGAACCCGACCACACTACTACAAAAAGCGTGTTTTTTGGACGCTTTTTAGGCCTTTTTTTGACGCTAAAAAGCGTCGAAAAATTATTTCTCGACGCTGCAAAAAAGCGTCGCAAATCCATGAGTCGAAAATTTTTCAGAGACACAAAAAAGCATCGAGATTCTCGACGCTTTTTATTGTCCAAAGTAATATACGAAGCGTCGAAAATTACGTATTTCGCGCATTATCCCAAATATATGTAGTTTTTTAGTGACGCTTTTTCTTGTCCACATAATCAAATTTAGCGACGCTTTTTGTTGTCTTGCGTTTATTCGTGTCAACCTTTGGTATGGCGGGAAAGTCTTTGAAATTTGAAAATGTGCAATTATTTAGACATTAAAAAGCGTCTATATATTACATAAATATATGCAAGATTATTTCTATTTTACACGTTAAACTCAATAATATTCTAAATTAGCCTACATTAAGAGAGAGCATACAATTATCATACATGAAAAATATGAACAATATCTTAAACTTTATTATAGTCGTATAAATTTGTGGTTGTGTAGATATAACAATACTACTGGAATTTCCAATTTTTTGTGATATAATCTAGACAAAAGTTTTTTTTTTTTTGTTGTGATTTTAATATTAGGGTTTCTTAAGAGCCAGCATTTACGTATATCAGTAATGGCTAATTTAGACTTTTACCACCAAAACTTTTAAACGTTTTATTTTACCACCAAACAAAAAACTAAAAATTGTTTTATACCACCTAGCATCAAAAACCTAATGGAATTTTTTAAATTCTTTGTTTTTCGTGCGTAAAACATGTTCTTCATAGGTTCAGGGGGGCATTTTGGTCTAAAGGGTCCAATTCGAGGTCACAACTGACAAAAAATTGATCGAAAGCCTCGTTTTGCGTGTTTAAAGATACCTCGATTTACGTGAACACACAAAATGAGGCATTTCCGATCTTTTTTTGTCAATTCTGACCTCAAATTAGACCCTTTAAAACCAAAATGCCCCCTAAACCTCAGAAGAACATGTTTTGCACACGAAAATCGATGATTTTTTTAAACCGTTTGATTTAACGGTTTTCTTAATGGTAGGTGGTAAAAAAAACAATTTTTAGAATTTTTTTTGGTGGTCAAATAAAACTTTTAAAAGTTTTGGTGGTAAAAAAACAATTTGTTGATTTTTTTTTTTTTTTTTTTTTTTTTTGTGGTAAAAGTAAAAAACATCCTTAAAATTTTTTTTAAAAAAAAAACAAAAAAAAAAGTCCAAATCAATTCAAGGGAAAAAAATAAGTAAATAATTTCTTTCTAAGTTATTAATTTAGCTAGTGTTGAAATTAAAAATTATAAATAGCCGTTTTGGTAAATATTTTTTTGAATTAACCAATTTGGTAAATACTTTTTCTTGAATTAGCTAATTTGATAAAAGATCATGTTTGTAAAAGTCGAAACTTATAGATTTAAGATTCGTGATGCAATGTCTTTTATTAATTTAGTTATCTGAATCTACAGAATATGTAACCAATAAAAGCGAACACAGGGATGATAAAGTTTATTCACTCAAGGATCTCCTAGAACAAAATCCTGACTTGACAAGATCTCTTGTAAACATGCGTGATTTTGAGGGATTTACTCCTGTGGTAAGAGCAGTGCAATGTTGCCGACTTGGCTTGGCTAGGCTTCTTATTGAACAATACCCTCAATCTGTTGGGATTCCTGACTACAAAGGTAGAACAATTCTGCACCACATGGGGGCTCAAGCTGTAGACCTTGTTGATGACCTGCAAGATATAATGCCGGTTTGGAAGGATTTTTTTCAATATGGCGAAGTTGATGATCTTCGAATTGCTCAAGATGAAGATGGGAACACGCCTTTACATTACGCTATTAGCAATGACAATTTTACTAAAGCCAAATTTCTTATGGGAGTCTGTCTTCTATCAAAAAACCAAAGGGAATTGGACATTGTTAACAGTAACGGTCTCACCGTATTTGATCTAGTCGCATCACGAGCCCATATTCCTTCCATGGTACATTTTTCTTTCAATGATTTTCATAACAATTTGTTGTCAGTTTAAGTTGTCATTTCTTTTAATATGAAGTACATCTTTCGATTTTTTTTAACTAACACATGACTAAATAGTGACTTCGTCTAGTGACTTAGTGTTAAAAAAAACAAAAAAAATACACATATTATAGTCATCTGAGATCTTCTTGGATATATTGGTTCCGCAGAAGGAGCTGCAACCATTGGTGAACAGAAGTCGTGTAAAAGAAACAGAATTGATAAAAGAAATGATGGATGACGACCTCTACATAGCAGCAAAAAAGGGTGACTTTGGAGATTTAATAGCAAATACTACTGAGACTACTGATGTAGAAAACAGGCCCCCGAGAGACGATCAGTGGTTTTGCCGTCGAACACCAGGCGGAAGCAATATAATTCATGTAGTCCTTAGACACGCAAATGGGAACGATAAAGCTACCAAATTTGTTACGACTGCTTTAAGCAAGTGGCCAATTCTAAGCATGCGACAGGATAATAACGGAGACACGCCTCTTCACCTGACTGCAAAGTGGAAGACGGGTGTGCCACTGAACTTATTAGTAGACGCATCAAAGGAGTTTCTAAGCAAGCTAGATAAGGAGGAAAAAGCATTTCATGTTGCACCATGGGCGGTTAAAAATTACAAGGGCAGTTACCCAATTCACGAGGCTTTACAAGCTGACAATTTGGGCGCTGCTTGGGCTTTGCTTGAATGTGATAGGGAAGCCGCTGATCGTGTTAATGACTTGGGCGAGACTCCACTCCATGCTTTCGCCAAATATGGCTTTTCTATTGGTAATTCTCTTGCTTAACAATTGCTACTGTATTATTTTTCATAAATTGTTCATACATACTCTCACATTTGCCTAAAATTACACCGAATTTTTGATGAGATGAGGTCAATCTTTAACTATAATTGTTTATTAAAACAAAATTGTTGACATCATCCTTGTCCAAAATCCACAACGGAGACCATGATAGGGAGATAGATGGTAAAAGATAGGTTTTTTAAGTGCATCTTTTGTTTTTATTTATTTCCAACACTTTATAATAACTATGCCAACAACTTAATAATCCGTATAAAACAACTTATCCCCTTCATCAGTGGCGGACCTGGGCTTGTGCCTGGTGGGTCAAGTGACTCACCAGGGCCCAAAAAAAATTCTAAGTTTTCTTTTTTTTTTTTTAAAAAAAAAATAAAATAAAAAATTCTAACTTCAGCCTGTTCCCCTTTCACCTTCTCCTCGCCGCAGCTGCAACCACATTTCGCGTTCCCCTTTCATTCTCCCTCCTCATTCACTAATGGTCATGGTGGTCGTGAGAGATAACGACTGTGTGGTTTGATTTCTAGGATTTTTTTTGGTGTTCATGGTATGAGCTTCTTTAAACTTTCCCCTTTAAATTTCAAATTTAAGGTTTCTTTGCATAATTACTAGTTCAAATCTTTGATTTTTTTTCGATTTCTAGGGTTTCGATTTGTAACTGTTGGTGGTGGTGGAGAGCAGCGATGGTGAGGTTCGATTTGTGCATATAGATATGCAAAGTAGCTAGAATTTTGAATGTGTTTGGCTTCATGTGTGTTTTTCATTTGCTAATTGCCTAATTTAATTTACGATTTGGGGATTTTTGATGTAGGTTTTCTGTATTTGATTTAATTATGTCATTTTTGTTTAAATTTGTGTTTTGTGCCAGTTTTTGCTCGGAAAGTTGAAGGGGTTTTGTTATCTACTAATGGGTAGTCAGGATTAGCTGATTTTTGTGTGAATAAGGATTGTTTTGAAGTTTAATTAGCTTAATTTATGTGGAATTTGTGCTCAAATAAAGTACTTGCTATGAGCTATCTGTATAATCATTTTGTTTGCTTAAACTAAACAATTTCGTCTAAAAAAGTAGAAATTGAAGATTGGTTTTGAGTCTTTTGACTGTGTTTAGTTACAGTTTTGTCTAATTGTCTTCATTATAATTTTTAAGTCCCAAATGATTTATTTTAATATGATTAGCCGATTAGAAACTGAAGATTGGTTTTAATTAGCCGATTTGGGAATTTTTCCTCTAGAAACTGAAGTTGTGACCGGATATTTGACTATTTGAGTTGAGTAGTTGAGCCCTATAATTTTTGTTTAATTGATATTGATTATTATTTCTGATTTTCTGTTTAATTGATATTAATTATTGAATTTATTATCATTCATTCTGCATTTATCATGTATGTGTCGCAATAACTGATTTGGATGATCTTTGTAAATAATTTTTCTGGGGAATATTGCTTGATTTAGTTGAATATTGCTTGATTTAGTTGAATATGAACCATCCAACCAATTATGAATAGGGGTAATTCGCTATTGGGGTTATTTGCATATGATTCATACTTGTGATTTCATTTGTTTTGTTAACTTTGTGTTTGATTAGGTTGTTGAATTTATATGCAGGGAAGACTCAGCTTATCAATCATTTTCTAATCAACAAGAGTTGGTATATTGTTAATTTGCCTGGATATGGGTGAGTCTCTGTAATTTTGGTTTTAATTTGGGCAATTTTTGTAATTCTTGAGTCTATTTCATGCTGGGAATATTGTATACTTGTATTGTGAATCAATTGTTATTCGTGTTTATTCCTGATCATATGCTTGAATCATATTGAAGTGCCAAAAAAGGATTGCTTTTACGCCTTGAGGCATTGCTTCAAAATTATTGATCATCCTGTAAAACATGTTGCGGACTGATATGTATTTAGGCTACATCCGTTGTAGTTAATTTGGTCTCCAATCATGTTGTTTATTTTCAAGTTTAGGAAGTAAATGTCTCCTTACATGTCATTGTGAAATTTTATTTTACATATTTGATTATCGATTGTGACTCACCAGTCGGAAATTCCTGGGTCCGCCACTGCCTTTCATGTTCTTCAAAACATATTAATGTCATGATCATTCACAAATGCATTTGTGTTCTTTTGTTGCATATGTCTACATGATGTAATTTACATCTATTAAGTATTAACTATATATTGTCACTACTCACTAGCTTAATACTATAGCACATAGCATACATCTTCGTTCAAACTATGATATTGTTCTTTACTTCTTTGTACATTGGGTAACTCACTGTTCCATACAGATAAGGATGAGGCATACAACTTTGTGAGAACATTGAAGGAGTTAAGCAAGCAAGCAGCATATCTACGAGACGATGAAGGGCTAACACCGTTGTTAAGCGCAGCAAAGTCAGGTCGTTTCCAAGTTGTAAAAGCAATACTTGAATATTGTCCTCAATCAGCTTATCTCCGAGATTCAAGAGGCAAAACCTTTTTGCATCTCCTGCGGTTCACGGGCGAGGATGTCGACGAGAGTTTAGCCGGCACATTTAAGAAAGCTGGGAAACAGTTATTTGATATCCCTGAAGCAGATACTCAAAGATTGGTGCAAGATTATGAAGGAAGCACACCCCTCCATGATGCTATTAGAACTGGGAACTCTATTAGTGCAATTGTATTGACGCAAAAATGTTTACAAGATAAAGAACCAAGGGAACTTGCACTGGTAGATAAAAGAGGTGACACAATTCCTGATTTACTTGCATCACACGACGTCCCAAATGAGGTATGTTTTAATTAGTTCATTCGTAAAGTATATATGATGTGTTATACATGAAGTATACAAATCCTTTCTCAATTTTTTCGTTAAATATTGCATGGAAACAATGTTTTTACAGCGGTCGTTTGAAATATGGCTATCTTATTATTTTAATGATAAATAATATGAGCGATCTATTTTTTCACACTATAAATTGGACACAATTAGTATTATAATTTCTACAATGCAAATATAATTTTTGAAAATTTTAATTTACCATAAAATAAATATTTTTCGAGAAACTATATATTAACTGTAAAAATTACATAAATAAAACTAAAAATTTGATAAATTAAAAAAAAATGTTGATAATAATATTTTATAGCAAAAATAGAGTAATATAATTAATTACGTGGATAAAAATAAGTTAAGTATGAACTATATAATCATTAAAATACTATAATAGTCATATTTCAAACGACCACTATAGAATTTTCATGGAAACAATCAATAGATAACACTTTTTTTTAGGAAACAAATGATAGAACAGTCGTCTCATAATAGTATTAGAAATTATGTATCTCACTAGAAAATTACTATTACTTGTATTTCATATTGTTCACAAGAATTACAACAAATGGATTTTTTTTTTAACAATTAATTTTCTTTGTTGTAAATAATAAGAATTATAGGTAGTATATAAGTTTAAATATCAAACTTAGGAAATTTTCCCTTCCAAATCCTATAGGTTTGTTAATTACTTCTTTCATTTTTACTACTTCCTCCGTTTCTATTTAGTTGACGCGTTTGATTTAGACACATATATTAAGGAGAGGAGAGAGAGCGAGAAAGAATGAAAAAGCAAGTAGGGTAGCTTGTAAATGCAAGGTAAAAATTTACCCAAAAAGAAAACGTGTCACTAAAAAAACTTCCTAAAAAGAAATACGTGTCAACTAAAAAGAAGCGGATGTAGTATTTACTAAAGCTAATCAACTATCAGCCAAATCCCAGGCAATTACTGGCCCAAATAATTGTCTGGGGTTGAAATTTGGATTAATCCAAAAAGAAAAATTTTAGTTATAATTTTGGCCCAACCCAAATAAGGTTAGTTATAATTTTGGCCCAACCCAAATAAGGCCCAAAACGTCAGCAATTTTGGCTTGAAAGTAGGTTTTGGCACTAAACTTTTTGGCCCGAATCTGGCACAACCCCTAGTCTAAGTGCCTAACTAAACACACTTACACACACTGTATCTTTTAGTTTGAAACTAGAAAGTGCAGCTCCTTTACACATATATTGGTTCTACTATTGGTATAATGTTTGTGGTTGATCCTTTTTGGCTATTGGTTCTACTATTGGTAATGTTTGTGGTTGATCCCTTTTTGGCTTTCATATAATGAAACAGATTATAACCGAAATTCAGAAAAAAGTACCTCATGCAGTGTACTTAGCAAGAAGCTCATATGGTATTCGCAAGACAGAAATGAAAGAGTCTGCCAATGCCCTTTCTGTGGTTGCTGCCCTGTTGGCAACCATAACATTTGCAGCCGCGTTTCAGGTACCAGGTGGGTTTGATGGTGATGATGGTTCCCCCGTTCTTCTGACAAAACCGGCATTCATAGTTTTCGTTGTAGCCAACACGATTGCAATGTGCTGCGCAATGCTCTGCCTATTCTTACTGCTATGGGTAATGGGTATTGGAAAGATTCACGGTTCACTCGTGGTATTGGATATCTCGATATATTTGCTTCGTGGATCCTTTCACCTCACCTTGCTAACATTCACAATGGGGGTGTTTGTGGTAACTGCTAAAAAGAATCTATTGTTAGCTATTTTCGTCTTTGGACTTTGCTTCTTTACCTTTGTTTGCACATTTAGATATTCAATCAACTTCCTTGCAATGTGTATCAACCTTGCTCTGCGAAAGAAAAAAAAGAACACGAAACCGGTTGGTGAGGGCAGTGAAGGAGGTTCAACCATTAGAAGACTTGCAGCATCGGAAGGCAGTCAAATTGGAATAAATCGGTCCACTGCTGCAGTAACTGAAATGCATTAAGTTCTACTCAGGTGTACTATGTGGCTACTACAAATGTTTTGGATATTCTGATGATATTGTTGACATTGTTTTGTACTATGTGTACCATTTGGGCAGAGGGACAAATTATTAATTCATCAAGTGATGAAGTGCTTATTACTAATGAACTTTACTTATGGATTAGTCAAAGATAAACAACTGTCACGTGTAATTTAGTAATTTTAACTATCCACATTACTAATAAGATAAGAAGTTTCCAAAATTAGTGGTAACTGATAACATGTATTGGACTGTATATAATTCAGTTTAGAACACTTTTTTTTTTTTTCTTTTTTTGAATAGATTCAGTTTAGAACACTTGTATAAGCTATATAAGATTTTATTTGGAATTAGAATTATTAGATGTCTCTGTTGCAGGTTAAGGGTATATTGTCTATCTTTCGTGGCAAATGTAGTATAAGGTAATAGGGTATATACACCTTTGGATTGTGTAATAAGACGGCAAAATCTGGCATAGTATATGTCTGTCATACTGTTTGTAATCCCATAAGTGGGGTCGGCTAATATGAACCAAATTTGATTATTTCATGTAGTCATCAACATAAATCTTCCTCTCCATCCCTTACAATCCAACGCATCATCCTCATGCAAATCCATATACTTCATATCCTTCATAACTCCTTCCAACCAAGTCATTTTCGATCCTCCTCTCCCTCATTTCACCCCTCCATGGTCCCACACTTCCACTTTTCAAACCGGTGCACCCTCGGGTCTCGGGTCTCCGTCTTACATGCCTAAACCAACCCAAACAATTTTCCCTAAATTCTGTCTTATATTCCTCACAGAGATATTTGTATGTTATTTTCTATTCTTGATGCTGCAGGATGAAGCACAGAAAAGAAGCTTTCTGGCATCTTGTCATATATTTCTCAACTCAAACTTCAAGAATTGGAATTTTGTTGGTAGCGGGGCGGCAAATCTTCCAAGAATCAAAAATACCTCCCAAGAATTCTCTTACAGAAGTTCAATAAAATGTTTGTTGATTCAGATAAAAATAGGATCGCGGATGACAAATTAGGCTTGTTCATGAGGTATGTGCTGGTTCTCACCTTATTTGTTGACGAGTTTCAGACTGATTTTACTAATACTTCCAAGAATCTGAAGATGTCTGCTTTGAGTCTAAGACGTTATTCCGAAAATTGGGTTGTAAGTTTGCGAGAAGAAATAAGGTGGCTGTTGCTACCCTTCCTATTCCTCTCAAGTTCCCAACACTGAGGAAGAGGAGAGTTGGGTAGATGTAATTATGGCTTCTGCTATGAATGAAAGGTAAAAGTTATTGACTTGTTGCCTTGTTGGCTTGTTGCAATGGATGCAAATTGTAGGATTGTACTAATTGTCTAATTATGATGGCTTCATGATTTTATATTGTTTTCTTTTTGAGCTAAGTGCATAGAAATACATATCAATCAAACAATTAATTGTATTTTTGAAAAGAAAAAAAATGTTTTACTGATTTGAGATGGAAAAACATGCTTTACTTTGTTTTATATTTTTTTTAAAAAAAATGATTTACAGATTTGAAATGGAAAAACGTGCTTTACTCTGTTTTTGGATCATCTTGGCAAGATTATTTATATAATTAAGCTGTTTTATCAAGTCTCGAAAATGATTACACATTGGATTAAATATGAAACCCTTACCACTACGTACTAATTTTGTTTTGAAATCGTCACTTTGACCCTCTTCTATTTAATTACAAATTATTACGCTTATAATGTAATGAGATACAATATTCAAACTCCCTCCATTCTCGAAAGTTCGACTCATTTTCAATTTACACGGTCTCCAATGATCACCTTTGACCATAAATATATTTGACTATGTATGTGTGAAAATTATAAAAAGTTGATATTTGAAAATTTTATAATAAAGGGAATCTAATAAGATCCACATGCTAGTTTCTTTCTATTACATAAATATAGACTGCGGTCAATTTTTATTTATTTATTCTTTTTTTATTTTAACTTTAACTACATAAATAATAATTGAGTCAAACTTTTATGGACGGAGATATTATGTAGATTTACCATTAATATTTCTATTGGTTTGGATAGTTTGAAAAGTCTATGATTCAACAAATCTTTGAATGAAGAGTATATGTAATACTTTCATGATTGTTTTAAAGGATTTGATATACTCATACCAACAAGACGTATTTTGCTTTTAAGGAGATGCGCATGAGGGAGGACAAAATGCGTCAGAAGGACTGGTGTTGGTCTGTGAGAACAGTTGTTGACCCTTGATGCGCATTTCGTGACAATAGACCCCTCCCTAATTTGTTTGGGGTCGAGGTGTTACAACTTTATGTACTTGAACATACCTCCATAGACCAATTAATGGAACAACTAGTAGTTCGCAAGTTACAGTTGACATAACATCTGTAAATCTGTCATATGAAGCTTTCACATGTATTTGCACCTGTAAAACCCTGTCATATACTGTATACAGTGATTTTTTTTTTTTTTTTTTTTTTTTTTGTTTGTTAGTGAGACATTTTCAGACTTCTTAAATCTTGACTGTTAAAGCTTTCACACAATTTGCCCATAGTAGAGAGTAGAGACTTCTTCACACCCTAGTCAGTACTCACCATTATTTAGCACTTGTAAGAACCACCACAAGGTACCAGGAGTCCTCTGCTACGATATAAACAGGGCTCGTTATCATGTTATATGTTTTCAGTGTCCAACTCCGACCCAGGCCCAGGCGCCCAGGCAGCGTAGACGCCTAGCACAAAATTGAGCTTGGCAATCAAAAGCCTAACTAATTCATCAAGAGAAGGGAGACAAAAGACTAATGCAATAATGTGAAATTGATTTCTGCATCATTATTAGCAAAAGATACAAGCTGTGCATATTTTGAACCCTTGGGATGTACTGTAATTTTCATTTTTTATACCTTGGCAGAAATTCGAAAATGTCACATTGTATAATTATAATTGCTACCCAAATACAATTTAAAAGATATGTTCATACAAGTAACTTAATTTGTCTAGTATGCCTCAGATCATGCAATCTGCATCACGGACCATTTGTAGCTTCTCTTGAGCCAGATAAGAACTTGAGCTAATGACTTTCTTGTTTCAAACAAAGTTAAAGAAATACAAAAATTATAACAGTGGAAAAGCTTATTTGAATAACTTCTGAATAGATGCACAAATTGCTGCTTATTTGTGCCAATGCAGAGACACAAGAGAAGCTGTTTCTACGAAATCAGATTCGTTCATTTACAGAAAGAACAAGAGGAATTATGTTCTCTTTCCCTACATCAGGTTGATGCATGTACAATTTGATTAAAACAATAGACAACAAGATTAGATGAATACGCTAATGCTCTTATAAGTAATTATGTATAGATTATGCAAATATACAATGATTTCAACTCAAGAAATTCAAAGATACAATAAGTTATCTAGAGTTGAATATAAAAAATAATACATACAGAAGTGTGAATGTATGATGCTGCTAATGCTCCTTTCGTAGTTTTGTACATCTTACTTAGAGGCAGCATAGCCACTATTATCCTTTACAACCAGATATGGAGAGCGTGAAGCTACAAATTCCAAAAGCCGAAACCAACCAGTCCACCACATACCAATCAGCTCTCATTTGGATCACTTAGCACAGTTAGTTTTGAGCAAAATTCACATACAATTGTCCTACAGAGTGTCAACTTCTTCATCACTCCTGAAAATGATATCACAATAAATGCAGAAGAAATGAGGATCATAGGTTCGTTGCCTCTTGATATTTTCAAGGAATGATTTATACAATAATATGATTCGATACCTCTGAAGGACTTGAAATTGTGGCTTCAACAGATTCCTCTGCGATTCTTGCTTCTTTGCTATCATTTATATATCTATCAAATAAGAAAACACAAACAAAGAGTCAGTGTGAACTGTGAAGCAAAGACCATAAGATTTTTCAAGGGTAATATGATGTGATAAACCAAGAGGATCTAAACTAAACTATAGTATACGGGAACTAAACTACTCAATAAAATGTGAAACAATTAAGGATAATAGTCACTTCCAAATAAGTAGCTGGTGAACATATCAAAAAATAAACTCATGTTTTGCAAGCAAAAAGGTAAATCGAAAAACAAAAATATTTCAAGTAATTCACAGCTTACGTTGAAAGTATTGTCACCCATATAAGCTCCACACAATCAACCCAAAGCAATCTTTGTTCCACAGGAATAACACCATAAGTCACAATGTGTGCGAAAGGCCAAAGTTTCCATCCTGTCTGCAAATTAATACCAGTATAGATTTTTAGGAGGAGTATAAGAAAGGTGCAAAAGTTTCTTCAATGCAGCAACACCCCAACACATTTAGGTAGCCAATGAAAATGTCTGTAAACCTAAAATTTAGGTTCGTAATAAATAGCCATCAGTTTACAAAAAAAAAAAAAAAAAAAAAAAAGGAGTTTTGGTAGCTAACAGTCAGGATCTCATACCCATTTCAAGTAGATTTTCCAAATCCAAAAAGTATGGCTATTAATTTTGCTTTTAATTTTCGTTATGACACAGCATGTTCAAAGACTTTTGTGCTAATAGCATACAATTACAAGAGGGCCTCAGAAAGCCTCTTGAGATACAATATTATCAAGAAGTGTTGAATTCATGTTAACCAGACACATATTAGGTGTCTACTCGGATACGGTGTCCAAATATCCGACTCGGCCATTTTGCAGAAAAAAGCCGAGTTTATAGTTTACAAGGAAGTATTGATACGACACGCGATTTGTGAGGCAAATCTGGGTGTCAAAGTGAAATTGCAGAAGAACTTTATTCAAAAATATTTTTTTTTAAAAAAATGTATTCATTTTAGACAAGATGACCCAGCTTAAAACATATGATCAAATGACTAAGGAGTGAATACAAAGTTGAACAAAGGAGACACTCCCATCCTGTAACGTTTACTGACCAGCCAAGTACTTCCAACCATGTATCAAAAGTTATATAACAGCTAATAGATGATAATATCAAAAGTTACTATGTAAAAAAAACAGAAAATTTACTTACAGTAAGCAGGGGCCAGAATGTTGCCTTCAGTTCCTTATAAATATTAGCCGGTGATTCCAATCGCATCAACCCCAAACTCACAAGATAAATGGTATTCCAAATTCCTGTCCAAACAGTTTGATCGAAGGCAGCTTTCACAGGAATAGCCCACCAATCACGGACAGGGAATACCGCCTGAAAGTGGTAGATTAGTTAAGTCCACAACCATACAAGGCAATGAAGAAAAAATTAACATAAACTTTATCAGAAGAGTGAAGTTCTATAATATTACCTCACATATTTCGTAATAATAGTGGGAAAGAGAACCATGAAAAGCGAATCCTACAAGTCCAGATCTAACCATGCGAGCACGATCAAAGTCAAAAAGAGGTTTGCCTTCATAGCACTGCAAATCAAAGTGATACAGAAACAGCAAGATTGTCAACTTGGTTAAAGATCAAGAGTAGCCAAGGTGGTCCTAGGTGAAGCAAACGGGGTATATGTATTGTTGCATAAGCACTATTATCATCCAATTATAAATCATCTATATCCACTAACTACGAGAACTAACCTGTGCTATCCAATCACCTATCGAGTACACTACTCCACTAATCACCATTTTTGCAAGTACAGGGTTCGTTTTCAGAATTGCTTCATAAGCAATCCAGTTGTGTTGTGGAGCATATCTCAGAATCTCATAAACCGTCCATCCCTGAAAAAAAGAGATGTGTCAATGATGAATACAATACTTCTACATAGTTTTCTTGAGATAACAGCCAAAAACTTCAATGATTAGCCATCTTCTACATCATAATTATGAATCAAGGAAACCTAAATGCAATACTGCACAAGAGTCATCTCAAAAGTAAGTAGCCAACAAAATACAGCTCTCATTACTCAACACATGATATGTTTTTGCTTTAACTCAAATACAATAACTAAAAGCTTCAAACTCTATAATGGAAATCTGTATTTTCTCAATTTTCTCCTAAAATCAACTTTTAAATTTCAAGTCCAATTGCAAGCAAATTGACATAATTTGACATTAGCTTCCACCAAATTTGAGACTCAAATCATAGTTCCAGGCCTTTGAACAAGATTGAACATTTAAAAAATAGAAATCAACACAAAACAAACAAGATCTCACATTCTTGCTTAACTATCTTAATTCTGACACACAAAACTCTAAAAACAGGCAAATGCAACATGTAAAAAACTATATGCAAATGAAAAAGTACACTCATTTATAACCAAACTCAACTACCAAACAATCACAACTCCAGCAAAAAACCAACTCAACAAATAAATAACACCCAATAAAAATCAAAACAACATGTCAATAATCATGATCAATATTACTGAGAAAATCACAAAAATAAAAACCCATTTCATAAAATGAGAAAAAGAAGGGAAATTGGACTTGCATGCCAATAATCATGATCAATAGTGACCAATTTGGTAACAGCATAAGTACCAGCAGCAAGAACAATAGTCGCATTAATAATCCTATCAATCAACTTATTCAAATCTTGACCACCACCATTTCCTTCACCACCACCGCCATTACCACTCTCACCGCCGCCGCCGCCATCAAGACCCTCCAACGTCAACTGCCCAACAACCACGGAGGTTTCCACCGCCGACACATCACCTGTAACGGCGGCGCGGACGACGGAGGAGCGCCGGGAAGTGGTGGGTAGCGATAAAAGTGACGGTAATTTCTGGGTTTTTGTGGGTTTGTTTGGTTTTGTAAGAGGAGGAAGAGATTGAGCTGAAATTGTACGCAATGAAGCCATTGATGAAGTGGGGAGTAAAACAGAGAACGATTGAATAATCGACTTGTTTTTTCTCCTACTTAGAAAAAGGAAATTAGGTGAGGAAAATTTGATTGGAATTTATACAAGAATCAAAGAACAGTAGATTGAAGAATTGATCTTTTTGTTTGCTTATTAATTTTGATTTGGTCTTATGTTATCAAGTTGGTTTATTTATTTTTATTGAATGAAGAAGCCAAAATTGTTCAACCACTTAAAATACTCAAAATGTAGAAAATAAATGTGATCCACGTTAGTTACACATCGGCTTATATTAAATTATTACGTGGCAATTTTTATCGCGTTCCTCGTTCTTGTGTAGATTATTATCTAATGGTACCAATGGAGGGTCAAAGATGTGGAAGCTAATTTTTGTGTGCTCGTCCTGTCGTCTCATCTCATGTCGTGTTACAACTTTCAATAGGTTGGTCGAAGTACAGGTGTCAATTGGAATATCAGATTAGGTCTGATGAGGTCGGATCGGGTCAATTTAAAGTTGAGTCATGCTAAATTATTATTTCCATGCGATTTCAAATTTGAATTGGACATTTTTCAAGTCGGTTTTGGATTGGGTCGGGTCGGATACGTGTGTTTTTGACACCTCTAGGCTGAAGGAGTATATGCTAACCTAACTCGTTCACCCTTTGTATTTAGCCGACTAATGGAAACATCAGAAGGGCTTTCCTGGGTCACATCCCCGGGGCAACTAGCCTTCTTTGTTTTGCAGGCCTAGCTCTCAAGCTTCAAGGCGGAGCCCTCAGACATATCTTTGCAAGGCGGAGCTAAGGGACTCTTTAGACAATTAGGCTTAGATTCTTGGACATATTGGTATCCTTACCCTAACACTCCCAGAAGCATTTTGTTTCCGGAAACAATAAGCTAGAAAGGATATATATAAAAGGGGTAATCTTAAAATCATATATTAGTAATGAGGAACTAGAAATGGAGGAAAATTGGGCATTTACAAATGCATAACGAGGGGTATTCATGTAATTATACATATGTACAAACGAATGTATATTCTGGTATCATTGGATGATCAAATGGTACCACTGAATATACAGTGATACTAAATATATGAACATAATGGTATTATATATGCATTCAGTTGTACAAAATTTATGCATAAATAGTACCACTGAGGATTCAATGGTACCATATAAACTTTCCGTGAAACAATCAACATCTGGTTCCCCATTACGTGATACTATCCGACCAAAAAATAGGTGGGGTCCACCTACAAACCTCTCTCTTCTTATCTCTCTCCTCTTTTCACTCTCTATCATGTGTTTTAATAATATTTTGATCAATGTTATGCATTTACAAATGTCTAACTTTCCTCCCTTTAAAATTCCTATATTAGTAATATATAATGCAACAGGTAATAGAGTTAACTCGGATAATATCATGGTCAATCTGAGGTTTGATTGTGTATTACTCTATTTTAGTTATCAACAAATGGTTTATCTTTGGTTAATAAACTACAGAGTAGTACAGTATGTGACTTATATGACTTATGTTTGATTCTTCGCATGAGCCTTTAATTCTTGAATATCCTTGGACTCGTGTAATGCATGGAAACATTGTGTAGAGTGTTCGATAAATTATATAAATGCCATAAAACTTTATTCAAGGTATTTTTAAAAAAATTATGGAACATCTAACACCGTTGTTTCCCAATTTTAAGGCTAGTATGTAATCACGTGAAACAAAAATACAAGGGAAACAACTAACAATGATAGATAAAAATACGATACATTTTCGAGCGATTTCCGTAAATAATGTTAAAATAAAAAATAATTTCGTATATATGTCAGTTTTAAAACTATTTCTCGTGATACCGTATACGTAAGATTAGTGTAGGGTTGTAAAATCCGAGGTTATAAACCGCTAATAACAATAGCGGATTTTAAAAAAGAACCGCTAATGTCATTAGCGGTTCATTTATTAAAACCGCTAATGCCATTAGCGGTTTATACTTAAAATACTCAGTAACTTATTAGGCTTAATGTTTAGGTTCTTCAAATAGAACCGCTAATGGTATTAGAGGTTCTTCAAATAGAACAACTAATACCATTAGAGGTTCTATTTAAAGAACCTCTAAACATTACATGTTCTTCAAATAGAACCGCTAATGGTATTAGAGGTTCTATTTGAAGAACTTCTAATACCATTAGCGGTTCTAATTTGTGTAGAACCGCAATCTTTATTAGCGGTTTATTAATAGTCAAAAAATGAACCAAAAATCCGAGCCTACGTGGACGGTATGGTGGGAAATATTTTTTAAAGCAACGTATACACGTAATTATTTTTTATTTTAGCATTATTTACGAAAATCGCTCTACATTTTCTTTGAAAATATTCGAAGTAGTGCTGAAAAATAATTAAATAAATGGAGCGACTTGTTATACGTAGACATCGATCATCGATAAACAAGGCTTTGGAGCTTCCATACTAAAATCAATTGGCAATAGTAGGAGTAACTCCTATACCTTATAAAGTGGAACTACCTCTCCTCTTTCTCCAATGTTGGACACTCACAAGTGGGCTACAATGGGTTTCAACATTGAGGGGAATAGCCTCAAGTCGCACAACTTTTTGCAAAGTAATCCCAAACTTTCTTCCAAGGCTATATTGTATGGATTTATTCCATATTTCTATGACAATACTTCCAATTGAATGAATGAGCAGCCAACGTTGGATGTGCCATTCTATAGGCAAGCGGCATTTTGGAACATATTCGTCTTCCTGTACCAAAGGGCATGACCTCAAAGTCTTGTCTTTTAAAATCAGTTTGTATATCCAAAAATCCATTCAGGAGAAACAATTCAGGATTTGGCCATGCTTTTGAATTGCAAGCAATTGACCATATATTTACACAAATAGTTGAGTAAATTTCTAGGCAACATAAAGTCGCGTGATTATATATACTTCTCAATCTTGTGAGACACCACATAAAAATAGGTAGATGGATGCAAACTCAACATTTTTTTAATCAAGATTGCTTGAATTAGTTGAATGTATGGTGATTTTGGGATATATGATTCTTTTATAGATTCATCCTTACAAAGTACTTTTTCTATCTCAAGTTCAGTCTTTTAAAGTTATGCCAAACTGACTAAAAGTTAACTTTATTTACATTGTGTTATTGTAAATTGATTGTACTTTTTTTTTTCTTTTAATGTGGAACCTTGAGAGATCATATGTACAAGTAAATAAAATTTAATGCTAAAGCACTACATAAATGCTTCAAAATAAATTATAATTACAATTTTACATTAAAAATTGTGCAAGAAGTAAGTTTGACTCCAAAAAAAGTTTAAAATAAAAAAAAAAAAAAAAAATTTAAAGGGAGTAAGCATTTGCACCCACCATTAAAAGAAAGATTTTATTTCACAATATCAAATAAGTAGGTTCCATTATAAAGTCATATTGCGTGTTATGTCTATATGAATAACTCCTTATTAGCCATATAGATGATTGAACTTGGGCTAGGTAAAATTTATGCCAAATAAATATGGAAGCAACATATGTTGATAAATATGAGTGACAGATGTAGAAATTTGGAAAAATTGTCAAAAATAATACAAATTTTGAGCGGTCCGCTAAAAACAAGTCAATCTTTTAATTATTTCTAAATAATACAAACTTTGAGGGATATCCTCTTTAAACAAGTTATTTTACCTACAACTTATTTAACCGGCTAATTTTTTTTATTTATCTTATAAAGTTGTTTAATAGTTTTAAAAAAATAATACAATGTCACGTGTTCCATATAACCAGTTCATGAGGTAACTAATCGGTTTTAACTTATTTAAAGCGGATACCCCTTCAAAGTTTGTATTATTTAAAGGGGATTGCTCTAAGTTTGTATTATTTTTGAAAATTTTTCCTATAAATTTTAATTTGGAGGGTTATCTATTAAAAAGAATACGGATTAAACTTAAGGTAAGGTAAGTTATATATACGGAGGGTTATATATAACTTTCATTCTCTTCTTTTCTCTCTCCTCCTTTCTCTCTCCAAAAACCCTAGCCTCCATTATTGATTTTTGAAAGGGCTTCCATCGATTTTAATCGGTGGAAAGCCCTAATCCCTGTTTCTTTATTGTTTTTTAGGTTTATAATAATGCTTCCTCCTTTTGGGAGGAACTTTTCTCCCTCGAAAGAAAGGGTTTTTGATCTCCTTCGAAAGACAAGGGTTTTTCGACCTCCTTCGAAAGACAAGGTTTATCTCCTCTTTTCGAGAGAGAAATTTCTTAGTTTTGAATTCATGTTGGTAGCAGATCTAATGGATTGTCGTGAAATTATTTCGTTGGTGGAAAAGCTATTAAGTTTTCGAATACGGACAAATGAATCAGAAAGAAAACATGCTCACGGCTACAAAGGATCGTTAGATTGTCTCTCCAACAAGGCTGTAATTTTCAGCGATATAAGCGGGAGATGCTCCGCAGTGCAAAATCTACTCGACGATCGTAGTTTTTATGAAGGGAAATTCTATTTGATTTAATATCTTATGTATTTGTTAACGTCGAATCTCTATTGTAGATGTCGTATGACTTTTAATTAATAAAATATTTTTGCTTTTTAAAAAAAAAAAAAAAGTGCATTACCAGTGAAACAAAGCTAGTGTAAAAATTGCACTGAAAATTGCATTGAAAAATGTGATTAAGCTAAAAAAATTGCACCTTACATAATTTTGGTGGAGCTCATGCCTCATTGTAGATCCACCATTAATTTTGGTGGAGCTCATCCTCATTGTAGATCCACCATTAATATTTATATTGGTTTGGGACACTCACATACGTGTTTGAAAAGTCTACGACTCAACAAAACTTAGAAGAGTATATCAATATAAGTGTTTACTTTTTCTGTCTATTCATATACTCCGTAGCAACTTTGGCTATAGATAATTAGTACGGTATGTTAAATTAGATTATATATAAAATTGACAAATGCTAACAAATGCCCCGAAGCCGTTGATAAGATAACTAAAAGTAAAAATATTAACTTGAAATAAACATTAATTACATCGATCGTCGCTTGATTTTGACATACTTTCCCAAATTAATACTACCATTTTAAGAACTATTTTAAAGAGTTATCTAACGGGTGTTCGTTAGCAAGATCCTATAAAATTTTATAAGATTAACTTTATAACTTTTTTTTAATAAATATTGAGTTATATACAAGTGACATATGTGTCATGTTTGAGCGTATCAATTATTTCAAAGCATGGTTCGTGCAGGCGGATGCACGATCCACATGGTGCATCTCTTCCAAAAAAAAAAAGCAGAAAGAACATTGCATAGAAATATAAAGAATATTTAGTTTAAGTGAAAAAAACATATTATAGAATTGTAAAGAATATTTTATAGAAATGTAAAGAACATTCAGTTAAAGTGCAAAGAACATGTAATAAAATTGTAATGAAAATAATGTGCAGTTAAATAATGTTCTTTATCTTCATGTTCTTTGATTATCAGAATAATGTACTTTTATTTGTGACATATGTTAATTGTTTATTTTGAAATATTCTTTGAATTTTGTCTTTAGATTATGGTTGTTGAATAAAAATAATGTTCATTACATATATTATCATTAGAGGTGATAAAAAATTCAGGTCGAGCTGAGCCTTAACATAATTAATATCTCGTGTCAAACCGGGAAAATGTAGTGGGTTTTTCGGGTTTTTTCGGGCCGAGTTTGGATTATTTTTAACTAAAAATACATTTCTAGGCTTGTCTAAACCCGCCCTATTTTCGGGCTGGATCAGGCCGGGCCGGGTTGGGTCGGGCCAAAGTCGATCACCTCTAATTATCATGTTTTTAATTAATATTACGGATGTTCTTTAGATATACATATAAAGACCATGAAGTTGGATGTTTTTTTTACAAAATAGGTATATATTCTTTATAAAACAACTATATGTTCATTACAGTACAACTATATGTGATGTTCATTATGAAATAGCTATATGTTCTTTACAAAACAAATGTATGTTCTTTATTGAACAACGGAATGTTCATTCCGCGTTTTTAAAGAGAAAACGGATGCACGGAGCATCGTACATTCGCCTCCACAGAAAAAATTGTGCAATTATTTTAAGAATAACTACCTTCGTTAACATTTAAATGCAACTTTAAAATATTTTATGTCTCTCAAATAATACCCCAAAATTGCAACTAAATGTTAACAGAGGTAGTATAAAAAATGTAGTAAATTACATAATTAGAATTTTACAAAAAATTAGGGTATGTTCTCTTCGGCTTAATTTCAGTTCAGTTTAGTTCAGTACAGTTCAGCTCAACTCAGCTCAGCTCAGTTTAGTTCGATTCCTAAATTCCTTCTCTCATAAACAATTTAACTCAGCTTAGCTCTGCTCAGTTCAGCTTAGCTTAATTATGTAAATGAGAACAGACCCTTAATATGTATGATTTGAAAATTTTGTAATATTTTATTTTTAGGAAAAATTCTCTTCACTAAGACCCTTTATAAAAAGAACAAAGTTTTAGCCCCATAATAATTTGGGGTTGGATAACATGAATCATACGTCATAAAATTTTTTGTAAATAAAATAGATCATATTAAGGTAATTACTCCCTCAATTGTTTTTTTTAAATTTTTTTATTATTAAGAATTTTTTAGAAAATAACACCACAAAATTTGATTATATCACCACAAAATTTCAAAACACCACAAAAAAACAAAAACAAAAGTTGATTTCACCACCACTTTCTAACACCATCCAAAAAACCATGAGTGAGCACCACGCTTTACATGTGTCAATTAACTATTTGATTAAAAAAAAGAAAAGAAAAAAGAAAAAACCATAACTCCTAACCCCAGTCACCACCCTCACCACTGACGTCAATTCTCCTTGCCTCCACTGCCTCCACTGCCATCACTCCATTCCCGGTTGTCGGCTCCCCCAGACGACCACCCTAGACTGACAAAACTAGCAACCCTACTCCTCTGTAGCAAGCCCAATTAACCAAGCCTCACTAATCCAGCCTCTCGCCATCATTGGTGAAACAACCTCACCCAATCCCAGCCACCAAGCCTAACCGGCTCTTAAAACATCCTAACTAGCCACGAACAAAAACCATCCACCTTGAAACACCCCCAGCCTTGAAACAGCCAGCCCAACCATGACCTTAACGGCCGAAAGCCTGAAACCACTAATTTTTTACCCTTTTACCCTCAAAAGGGCCGAAATCGACCATGGAAACCCAGAATGGTTGATTTCCATGGTTGATTTGAGTGTTTTAAGGGTGGGGAAATGTGGTGATTTTATGCAGTGGTGGCTAGGGTAGGTGGGAAGGGACGCTGGCGGTTGGGCTAGGGTTGTGCGTAGGCGCGTCTAGGCTAGGATAGAGCGTCGGCGGTTGTGGTAGGAGAGGAAAGAGCGCCGGTGACTGGGGTTGGGATGTCGGCAGTGGTGGTGGTGCGGTTGGGTTTAATATTTTTTTTTTAATTTTAACCAATAATGTAGTGACATGTGGCAATGTGGACCCCATTTAACGGATTCCATCCAAAGTACGTTAAGTGGTGGAGAAATCAAATTTTTTGATTTTTTATGGTGTATAATAAAAGATTCAAATTTTTGCTAGTTACTCGATTAGAGGCTACTCGACGAGTCAAGAGTTACTTGATCAGGGGTTACTCAATCTATCAGTATCCCTGATCACACGGTGGTCAGCCACAAATAAGAATTTGTAAAGTTGCTTATATGCACGGTAAAGTACTTCGTGATTTGTTTCCAAACAAAAACGTACTCCATGAATTTTTTTTTTAAAAATAAAATAAAATACTCATGTATAGTACAACTACAACGAGGTAAAACAAACTTTTTAATTTTTTCCCGTTAAAATTACAATTCACATTTTCACTAAAATGTGAATTGTAATTTAAGTGGTTTGTGTTTATGCTACGTAGTAGGTAGCTACTTTCATACTCCCCCCCCCCCCCTTTTGGGACTTTAATATACTTGCTGTAATTTAGCGTTTTTCCCTTTTATTTATTTATTTATTTTTTTTTTTTTTCATCTCTTAAAGAAGAACAGTAAAAGATTTCAAAGAAGTGAGAAAAGAACAAATTAAATACTACTTTCGTTTCATACTATTCAATGATTAGACATTTTTTACTTACATTTTATATCAAATCGTTACAAATAATATGAAACAGTACAATAAACATAACAAAGTTTAAATTTGGGTGTAAATACACTATTTTTGAAGCCACATCATATTAGCAACCCTCGCACCAGCATTCACGGATGCTATTCATGGTGGGGAAGGGAGGGGTTAGTATCAAGGGGTTAGGGTTTGGTTGGGTGGTCGCGCGGTGAGGAAAGGAGAGGATCGAGTTATGGGAAAAGGGTGGGGATGGATCTCAGCCGACATTGGAGGTTGGGGAGGCTAGTCGTCGGTGTTGCCGGTCGTCGGGAGCGGTGGCGGCGAGAAGGGAGGTATGGCTTGTCGGGGGAGGGGTGGTGGTTTTATTTTGTTAATAATTAATTTAAAAAATATTTTCCTTTAATTTTGTTTAAAATTAATTTTTTTTAACCAGTCACTTGCTGACACGTGTCAGATGACTTGAAATAACAAGCTATATAACTGGATGAGACCATTAGAAGCAAACTCACATTAAAATCCGGATTATTAAAATATAATCGAAAGTTGGAATTATATATTTTGAGCGAATCGAGCAAAGTTAAGATTATTCTTGTCAATATTTCCATATTACTAACCAAGTATGTAATTTGGGTGTAAATATACTACTTTTGAACCCACCTTAGATGATGGTGGAGTTGGATGTATCTGGCCTACGGTCTATAACTTGTACTTCCTCCGTTCTTTTTTACTTGACCCGCTTTGACTTTTACACTATTCACCACCTGTCCTTGACCTTCTTTTGTGAATGATATGTAAGGAAAAATATATTCATATGATATCTTTTTTAATTCGTCTCAATAAGTACTATCGTAATATACAACTTTTGCATTTTTTACTTATAAAGAATTAAAGTTATTGATCGCTAAAGTTTTACATTGGCAAGCGTGATAAAAGAAATAAATCAAGTAAAAAAGAACAGAGAAAATATGAATTTACCTTCTAATTAATCTAGTTCTCTTCTTACCCCCCAAAAAAAAAGGGTTACTTAACCTCGGCCTTATAGTGTGATCAGCCACATATAAAAATGTGTGAATTTGTTTATATATACATTGTTAAGTACTCCGTAATTTGTTTTTTTTTAAAAAGTACTCGTCATGTTTCTTAAAAATTTTAAAAAGTACTCAGTTATTGTATTACTCCGTTTAAGATTGAAGATTATCAGTGTCATGATGCGTAAAATTTTAGTGAAAATGTGAATTGTAATTTAAGTGGTTTGTGTTTGTGCTACGTAGTAGCTTAGCTACTTTCATACCTTTTTTTTTTTCTCTTTTTTGGGCTTTAATTTACTTGCTTTAGTTAAGCTTTTTTATTTTTATTTTTTCTTTTTTCTTTTCACAACTTAAAGAAGAAACATGGTAAAAGATTGCAAAGAAGTGAGAAAAGAACAAATTAAATACTACTTCCATTTCATATTATTTAATTTGCAATGATTAGAAATTTTTTACTCACATTTTATATCAAATCGTTGCAAATAATATGAAGTACTTTTGTGAAAACTACCTTATAAAAGTCAGTTTTTGTGATAAAACTGCCTTACTAAATAAATGTTGTCAGAAACTACCTTTTATACAACAAATGTTGTAAATAACTACGTTATAAAACAATTAATGTTGTAAAAAAATATCTTTTGCCAAATTATTAAAATTGCATAAGAGACGTTTAATGTCCCATTTTCAATCATTTCATCCAATTTCTCCATAGCCCCCTTGTAACCCCTAATTCTTCTTCTCTTTCATTATTAAATTAAGTACATGATAACAATTTACAACATATACTTTTTATAAGGTACTTTCTTACAACAATTTTTTTTATAAAGTAGTTTTTTCACAAAATTTGATGTATATAAGGTATTTTTTCACAAAAATCTATAAAACAATACAACCAACATAACAAAGTTTTTGTTCCATAATGATTTGGGTTCAGCTAATTTGAATCGTTATAAGAAATAATTTATAAGCAGAGAATTAAAATAGATCATATTAAGGTAATTGATTGATTAAAATTTGTTTAAATGACAAACTTGTTTGAGTAGGCTTTAAAGTACTCCACCACTTATTAGAAACATGGTGAAATAACCTTATAGTCAAAATTTGAAGATTCCTATTCTTTTGATGCATTAATTTGTATTCGTAGTGAAAGTGTGAAGAGTATGTGGTTTTTGTTTATGCTAGCTATTTTCTTACTTTATTTTTTTGCTTTAATTTCCTTGCTTTAAGTTTCCTTTTTTATTTTTTATTTTTATTTTTCCTTTTCTTCTTTTTTTTTTTTTATATTCACTTGAAGAAGAAGAAGAAGAGCAAAAGCTTGCAAAGAAGTGAAGAGAAGAACAAATTAAAGAAGAAAGAAAAGAATAAAGGTTTGAGCAGTGGAGTAGAAGTAGAGAAATCATAAAATTCTTTCTATATATCATTACCAATCATTTTCTGAGATATGTACACAAACTACATATCCATAGCAAATACAAAGCATAGAGAGCGAGTGAGAGAGAAAGACATAATCAATGGAGGGATACATGGATTCCTCGATGTTTCGGGCAGCCGTGTTAGGAGATACCAAAGTGCTGGAGGATGCTAAACTAGAGGAACACAAATACCTCCTAAAGACACCTGATCTTGGTAACAACATTGTCCACATTGCTGCTCTGCGAGGCCACTCGACATTCATCGAGAAGGCTCTTGCAAGGTTCCCCGACCTTGTTCGAGAGAAGAACAAAAAGGGTAACTCTCCGCTTCATGAAGCTGCTAAGTTGGATACCATCAATGACATTGTTAGCAGTGATTCTGATTCTGATTCGGATAACACAAGTACTAATACTAGTGTCATCAATGTCATCATTTCTCACTTATCAAAAGACAAGGACGGTGTTAGCAGTGGTTCTACATCGGGTAACACAAGTACTAATACTAGTGTGCCGTATTTGTGTGAGGTGAATAACGACCGAGATACGCCGTTTCATTCAGCGCTTAGAAGCCGGAACATGGCTGCAGCTGAGGCCTTGTTTGCATACGTTAAGGCTCAACCACAACTCCTGCTCATCACCAACAATTTTGGGGAGACTCCTCTACATCTTTATGTCCGATATTGCGCTGGTAATTTATTTTAACTACTCATTTTTGTTTTTGGTAGTGTTTCAATATTTTTAACTGACATTTACTTGCTCCGCTTTTCTTTTCCGACCGTTTTTAAATACTTGCTTCATTTCATTTTTTAAAAAGCTTTTATAATATTAAATTCAATTTTTACATTTAGTGGACCCAACTTAATACTCTCTCTCCTCCTATTCTTCCACTATTTTTTTTTTACATTTTTTATTTTCTCAACTACCCCACTACCGTATTTTATTTCTTTCTCCAATTTCTTCTAAAACTCCGCGCATGAAAAAAATGAGCAAATATTTAAAAACAGATGGAGTAATTTATAAAAATCAATATTAATAGAACAAATATTATTAAATCGGTTAAAAAAGTAATTTATAAATTAAGTTCAACAAATATGTAGTACTTATATTTTAAAAAAAAAAAAAAAAAAGATTGCTCCCTCTGTTATTTTATTGCATCACTTTCCTAAGTCAAATAAGCCAAATTTTAAATGTATTTCTACTTTTTTTTTTTCTTTTTTTTGGATATTTTTTCTTACTGTTAGGTTTTTTTTTTTGTTTGTTTGTTTGGAAGTATTATATATTTGTTCTTACTAAGTCTCCACTCTTACTTTTTTTTTTTAATCGGTAATGAATAATGACGTATTGATAGAGTATTATGATTACATTGATGCATGTATGAGTACAATACATAACAATCCACCCACAATGTTCCAAAAGGAGCATATACTAGCATGATTAGAGTTACTTTAAGACTTACCCCTTCCCCCTAATATTAGTCAACATTGTATCAGAATTATGAAAACTAGATGAAAAAGAGAGGGAAAATCTAGAGAGAAATCTAGAGAGAGAAAGTACGTGAGAATTAAGAATCTCATTAATGTGAATAGGTATTGTTTGTTGAGATGAACACTACAAGAGGGGGGGTGAATTGTATGTGAGTTTCTAGTGACTACTTTTGCGGAATAATAAAACAATGCATATAGCTTAGAACTTGCAAAGACACACAGATTTTACGAGGAAACCTTCCAGGGCCCAACTGGAAGTAAAACCTCGACCCTATCTTAGGGATTTCAACCACAAAACAACTTCACTATAATAGGGCAAACACCAAGTTACAACTTACTATAATCAGACCTTTACTCACAAGTTCCAGAACGAACTTGCTACATAGTAGGACCCTATCCTACCCAATCTAAGTCCTACACTTAGATTCACTCATACTCCCAAAGTACTAATTCGCTCAGCTTCACTCTAGAAGCTTACATAAAACACACAAATACCCAAATAATCCAACCAATACAAAGCATATGACACCTAGTATATGTTAGGCAAGTTATGCACAAAACCCGAAACTAATATATATGACAAGGTTAGAAGCTTGGCAAACTTACACTATTAAAGCTCTGTGATTTCTCTACGCATAAACTCACAAAAACCTAACGAAATGAGATCTCTACTATTTATACAAGTATAACGTAATCGTATAGCAAGTAGGTTTTATAAAAGATAAAGATGTTAACTTGCCTTATCTCAAAAACACGGTTTATGTAAATCAATTTTGAGAAAATCTTTTTCGAAAATAAGATAGAAAGAAAGATATTAAAAAGAATAAAATCTTTTTAACAAACTAATTTTAAGAAACAGTTTTGAATAAAATCTTTTCATAAAATCTATCCTTTTATGTTATTTGCCAAGCAACTTGTCACGCTTCTAATAGATTTTGTGCATACTATACTTAACATATTTAACAACAAATCTAAAAGATAAAATCTTAACTAAAAGTTTTGTTGTGCCGATCTTTGCATAGTCAAAATACTTGGGCTTCATGCAGGCTAAGTTTCCCAAGAAACATACTGTCTTCAAATGCAGTCCAGGCTGACATCTCAGCTTGCTGTCTTCAAGTTCCTGTTAGGGAACGTTCCTGTTAAGGAACTTAGTTCTTGTTAGAGAACTCTTCTTCTTCTCTGTTTTAACTTCTCTTTTAAAGGCTTCTTCATGTCTTCATAGCTTGAGTTACTTTTCCATCACCAAGATCTATTTCACCTGTACTAATCAAACACTCATATGCCTTTATTAGTTGAGTTTGCTTTAGTTTATGTTCATCATCATCAAAACCTTTAAGCTTCAACAGTTACAGAAGCTAGAATAGCCTATATACTACATTCACTACTAAAATTTGGCTAAATTGCGACCGTTTTTCTACGACCGTTTGAAAAACGGTCGCAAAATATGAAATTTGCGACTGTTTTTTAATACAACGGTCGCAAATTTGCGACTGTTTTCAGCCTTTTAGACGGTCGCTAGGATGTGTTAAGACTGTTAACAATTAAAATTATTTCTAAATTAAAATAAATTGTTTACGACCGTTAAAGACGGTTGTAAATGTCATAATCTGCGATATGTCAAAGAGGTGGTCGTAAATGTCATAATTTGCGACCGTCAAAGACGGTCGTAAATGTCATAATCTGCGACCGTCCAAGAGATGGTCGTAAATGTCATAATCTGCGACTGTCCAAGATGGTTTCAAAAAGCTTTTTTTTAAAAAATAATCGGGTATAAATACTCACCCATCTCACCTCAACCCTAATTTACTAACCCTAATATTGTTGAACCGCCGCTCCATCTCTCCTCTTTCCTTTCTCCCTCTTCCTTTTTCTTTCTCTCTATTCTCCCGCTTCTCCTCCTCCCTAATCTACTCTCTATCTTCTCTTTTTCTTTCTTTTCTCTTACCTCTTTTCCTTCTATTTCTCTGAATTTCCGCCTCTTCTCCCACTCGTACTCTTACCTCTTTTCCTTCTCGTTCTCTTTCCTCTTCTGATCTACTTTTTGAAAGTTTTCCGTCAACTTAGTTGGTGTTGGTGGTCCTAATTCTCTTGGTTCAATGCTTAGGTGTTGGTGGTAAGCAAGTTAACTAATGGTTTTTAAGGTCAACATGAAAGTCTAGATCTAGAGTTTTCATGGTCGAATCTGGCCTTACTAAACCAAATTCAAAATCAATTCAGGGTTTGTGGTATGTTTTCGTGTTTTTAATTATTTTGTTCGAATTTTGTTTGATTTTTAGTTGATTTTTATTCGAGTTTTCCATGTTCAAATGTTGATTTTTTTTAATTGATTTTTGTTGAGTTTGGGTTAGAAACCGGTTTTTATTTTTTGTTAATTTTGGGATTAACTTGATTGAGTTTTTGTTCGAATTTCGTTTATTTTGGGTTTGATTTTGAGTTTTCGTTGGTTTTGTTCGATTTTTTAAGGATAGATTAAGGTGTTTTCGTTGATTTTTTCTTCGAATTTCCTGGTTTATATTCTTTAAGGGTTTTCGTTGATTTTGTATTCCTTGGTTTTGTTCTAATTTTTAGGGTGGTTTGAATTTTGCTGATATTGTTCGATTTTTAATTTTTTTCTGGGTTATTGTGGGTTGACGACAACGGTGGTTAAGGGTTTTCAGGGTGGTCGGCGGTGGAGAAGTTTTAAGTACGAGTGGGCGGTGGGTAGGTGTTTGGTGGAAAATGGTAGTGGGGCTGGGTAGGCAGTGGGATGCATTCGTTTTGATTTTTTTTATTTCTTCAAAAAATTTAGCGACCGCTTTTGGCTGTCGCAATTTATTAAAATTGCGACATGTACTAAAACAGTCGCAGTTGTTACTATTTGCTTGCGACCAATTTACAACCGGTCGTTGAAAATAAAGAAAACGGTTGCAAAAAAATATGCGACCGTCATCCAGTCGTAATTATGATTTTTTGCGACCAGGTGAAGAACGACCGCCCGTTGCGACCGGTGGCGGTCGCAATTATTATTAGCGACTGTTTTTGATATTTTTTACGACGGTCGCAAAAACCTTCAGTTTTAGTAGTGATTATTAAAATAAACATAATAAATAACAAATCTGTTATGCTGAGCGGGCAATTGTAACAAACTTTATAACAAACTCAATAGTTCATTATTCTTCTCTGCTGACGTGGCATGTGTCTGAGCTGGAAGAATCAAGTTGCTTCATACCCCCCAACAAGCTGGATGCAAGATGGATTCCAAGCTTGGGTATAATAGCTCATTAAATTGGACCGAGGGCAACACCTTTGTAAACAAGTCTGCTAATTGAGCTTAACTAGCTAGGCAAATAACTTAGGGAAATCAAACCTTCCATGACTTAAGCTGTAATCTTAATCTGAAAATGCTTGAAGCTTAAGCTGATCTAATGCTCTGAGTAAAATTACCTTTCCTTTTGTACCAACAACATATCTCAATGTGTGATGTAGAGCAGCAAAATGAGAACTTCTAGGCTCACTTAAAAACTGACTTAGAGCTTGAACTGTATATGATAGATCACGTCTTGTGCAAGTCAAAAAATTTAGTTTCCATACTAAACATCTATAAACTGTAGGATCAGGCAATATATCTCCTTCTATAGTAGATAACTTCAAGTTAATAGGAAGAGGAGTGACTGTAAGTTTGGACAAATCCATACCAGAATAATCTTTTAGCAGCTCATTTGTAAACTTCTTTTGAGTCATGACAAAACCAATGAATGTAATTGACCTCTATCCCAAGAAAGTAACTGACCTCTTTAAGATCCTTGATGTTGAATGTAGAATGTAGATGCCTTTTTAGTTCAAGTATGTTGCTGGAAGTAACCAATATATCATCAACATAAACTATAACCACAGTCATCTAACCCTTGCTATGTTTGATGAAAAGTGAATAGTTATTTTTAGATGGTTGAAAACCAAGATGTAGCAATTCATGAACCAATTTAGCAAACCATTGTCTTGAGGTCTGTTTAATTAATTTTGTTAATAGACTTCTTAAGTTTACAGACTGGATTAGGAGTATATTGTAAACCTTCTGGGATTTTCCATGTACACTTCCTCGGCCAAATCCCCATGAAAAAAGCATTATTCACATCCAACTGATCAAATATTTTCCAGTCCTTTGATAAAGTAGCAAGAGCAAGCAAGCACCTTACCGTTGCTAATTTGACCACTGGTGAAAAAGTTT